AGTTTTCCTGTTCTTTGTAGTGCTGTTGTCCTGCGTAGTTTGCTCCCTTAGTCGCCTCTTACGACATCCACGGGATGAATAGAGGTGACACTTCGTATTCTTAATCCGTCACCACACGGATAGATTTCGGACTGGTATTTACCAGTAACCATACTTTTATCTGAATTGTTAAGTATCTTAATTAAATCGGCAACAAAGGTTATCACTAAATGACTACTTAGCGAACTATAAAAAAATATACAAGGTGTAAGGGACATCGTACCGAATACTGAAATAGTGTATTCAGACCATGATTCTGAGTCGAGAGACATTGAAATTTGAAGACATTGACATTGAAAATTCTTTTTTTTTCCAATTTCCTGGTTAAAATGATGAAAAATGATATCACAATGAATAGACAGATTATTTTACTACATATATAATAATACAAAGAAATGAAATTACTCAAACAGCCGAAGCGCGCTGGGCCCCCCTCCGGCCGTCATTTGTGTTAGTGTGCGTAGTCTATTTGCACGGAATACACATGTAGTTATTACTTTTATGCGATACCTTCGGGGAATGACCTTAACCTTTGACAGCTGATTGATTGCATAAAAAGTTAAATTTTCCGGCAGAAAATTCCAATGATTTTCGACTCAGAATGATGGTGTGAATACACTATTTCAGTATTCGTTACGACGTCCCTTACACCCTGTATATGTAGAGTAAATAGGTATGTACATATACTGTTATTTGGCTCAAATGTTACAATGTACATTTTATCTTACTGGCAATATTGATGAATGAATGATCTTATGTCTAGCAGTAATGATGACATAGCGTCTTTAGAACTGAGACCCAACGTCCGGTTGATAAACTTATTTGTTTATGTTAACTGTAGAAATAAAGCCCCGTGTATATGTATACTATGTGTTGTTGACTTTTTTAAGGAAACGATTACCGCCAACGTTCTATACTTTTAAAATAATATTATAAAGGTGAAGAGTCGTATTTCCGGACCAATACGAGTTTTATCTAACCTTTTATGAAAAGAGCGTACTCCTTCCTAAAAGGCTGGCAACGCGCTTGTGACTCTTGAGTTGCAAGCGTTCATGCGGCGGTAGTCACTTTCCATCAGGTGACTTGTCTGCTCATTTGCCCTCTCTTCCATAAAAAAAAATTGTTGAGAGCGCCAATCTCAGGAACTACTGGTTCGATTTTGAAAAAATAATTTTAATGTTGGAAAGCTCATTCATTGAGAAAAGCTATAAAACATCATTTTGCGACCAATAGGAGAAGAGCATCAATAAACAGTGTTGTAAAAACGGGAAACGCAGACGGAGCTGCGCGGGTCACCTAGTAATCTATACTAATATTATAAAGCTGAAGAGTTTGTTTGTTTGTTTGAACGCGCTAATCTCAAGAACTACTGGTCCGATTTGAAAAATTCTTTCAGTGTTAGTTAGCCCATTTATCGAGGAAGGCTATAGGCTATATATCATCACGCTAAGACCAATAGGAGCGGAGCACCAATGAAGAATGTTTCAAAAACGGTAAAAATTTATTACTATTGAGAGACGCAGACGAAGTTGCGCGGGTCAGCTAGTTTAAATATACAGGTCACTCGGTAATGATTTTTGGCGTATACATACAATTTTATGCTTTAAAATTCAGATGTATTTTGTGAAATTATAACTCCCGAAAAAGGGATAGGATGCCAGTAAAACTTTTTAATTCAATGAGTAATGATTTAAATTGTATAGTTACGAGTAATTTCCTTTTTCTAGTGGCCGTTTTAACCACAGAACCCTCTGCTGTGTTACACATAGCTCTGATTGCAAATAAAATGAGGAGATGGTTAAAATTAATCATTAATCATCATCAACAGCCATTACTGGTCCACTGCTGGACATAGGCCTCTCCTTAGAAAGGAGGTTTTGGCCTACTATACCACGCTGGCCAGACGGGTTGGTATTTTCCTTCTCTTTGCAATCCTGTTGTCCTACGTAGTTTACGCTCTTAGTCGGCTCTTACGACACCCACGGGATGAATAGGGGTGGAGACATTCAGTATTTTTCTTAATCCGTCACCACATGGACAGGTTAAAATTAATACCAAAATTAATCCTCTGATGTCGTCATATCAGTATATTATTATTTAGACTACTTTAGATGACTGTGAGCATTTTATTAGAAGTAAATATTTTTGTGTAATGACATTGCACATTCCGTTACAGATAAGAACCCCGTACTCTGCAGATAAACGAATTCTAAACTTATACAGTCAGTATTTTTTCGTAGATATTTTTTATACACCCTCAAAAGTGTAATGCGTCAATTGGGTGTTATTGGAACGAAGTTCCTTATCGCGCATTGTGAAAGGGGGCTAGACAAAAAATTCTCACGAAAAGTTGTAACGACACTTTTTATTTTGAATTGTCACTTGTCAGTCATTCAGCGCCATCTATCGGATAGATAGGAAATCATTACTTTTCATCTCAGTAAAATTAAAATGTATGTTCTTAGGTTGAGCAAAAAATATTGTATTCGACATCATTTCTCAAGGAGATTTTACCAATGTATAAATTGTTTTAATTAGAAACCAACTGAAAAATATGTAGGTAATAGCCGCTTTCATAGATGGCGTTGTAATTAGAATCGTGTCGAATCGGTTTTACTCGATCGTCACAATTTCGTTTCTATCTGGTGTCCCACGACCCCACACGGCTTTTTTGTGTATGTCTTTGTGTATTATTAAATTGATACTTTTATTTTAAGAATAACTTTTAACTTCGCTGCTGCATATTGTGGTTGCATTAATGAGAAATGAGGATGTGACACAAAAATAGAAAAAAAAAACACTTTTGAAGCGAGTTGTATGTCGTGTGGTGACGGATTAAGAATACGGAGTGTCACCCCCCTATTCATCCCGTGGGTGTCGTAAGAGCCGACTAAGGGAGCCAAATACGCAAGACAACAGCACTGTAAAGAGAAGGAAAACTTGAAACAAACCCTATACCAACCCGTCTGGCCAGCGTGGTACAGTAGGCCAAAACCTCCTTTCTAAGGAGAGGCCTATGTCCGGCAGTGGACTATTAAAGGCTGATGATATGATGTGTATGTCGTGTCAAAATTTAAGCTCAATCGGTGCAGAACTTTTCAAGTTAATATCTATACAAACAAAAAAAATTGGAGTTTCTGTTTGTAATATTAAAATAACCGCTTTTTACTAAAGGCATATGTGTTTACACGGTACATATGCCAAAATATCCTTTTTTACAATTTTTGTCTGTCTGTCTGTCTGTTTGTTCCGGGTAATCTGGAACGGCTGGACCGATTTCGACGGGACTTTCACTGGCAGATAGCTGATGACCTAAGCAGTAACTTAGGCTACTTTTTTAGACTAGCTTCGCCCCGCGGCTTTGTCCGCGGTTATAACAACAAACGCGGGTAACACCGCGGGTCTCAGCTAGTTTATAAATATAACTAGCTGAGGCAAACGCTGTTTTGATATATACATTATTTCAAAAAAAAATATGAAAAAAAAATAAAAAATTGGGGGTATGAAAAATAGATGTTGGCCGATTCTCAGACCTACCCGATATGCACACAAAATTTCACGAACATCGGTCGAGCCTGTCCTAGGAGTTCAACCACGCACACCGTGACACGAGAATTTTATATATTAGATGGATATTTGCTTAAAGAAGTCTTAAATCTAAATATGACATAGAAGTTACAATGAACTGTTTATAGCTTTAAATCCCAAACTGCTATGTACCAGTTTGGTTTGTTAGCTCAATTCTTGAAGAAGGTCTGGAATAGGCTATTTAACATCAAGTTTCTGATACTCATGAGAACAGTGACTGGAACTGACTGGACTGGAAATACTCGTGAAATAAATTATTATTCCTCGAAGCTTTTTTCTCGAACTAGGTTGGGGTCGGCTTTAAGCCTATTACGACTTGACTCAAGTTGGTAAAACTTGGTATTTTGCTGGTGAAATAAATGTATAATAGGGAATATGCACGTGACACCAAAATGGACAAAATATTTTTATTTGTAATTTTTATTGCTAAAAAAAGATACCCATACAATTATTTTTGAAATTTATTATAATTTAATAGTGAAATTTAATCATCAAAAATTGGCTTTTTTAAGATTCCCTCGCAAATTTCTAAAACGCAACACTATTGGTTGAATAAAACGTGACGTCAACCTACACTGTCAAGAGTGTCAACAAGTTGTGTGTATTTGTAATATTTTGCTTAATGGTTTATATTTCGGATGTGTTATATTTATTTTTGGTAATGTAATAACCAGTAGAATCGTTAAAAAATATATAAAAAATACATGCATATTCCCTATTATAAAAAATAAAAATAACTTCAAATATCTCACACATGACAATCTGATCCCAGACTAAGCAGAAACTGACATACAGTAACGAAACTGATAAATATACGGAAATATTTCTAAATACCTACATTATCATACCATACATACCTGTATTATTCTAGACTAGCTGGTACCCTCGACTTCTTTCGCGTGGAATTTGAACAGCGCTGCCTTAGTGGGTTCGATTTCCAGGCCGGACAAAATTTTAAAGGGTTTTCCTTAGACAAAAAAATAGCCTAAGTTACTCCTCATATAGACAGCTCCCAGTTAGTAAAATATTATCAAAGTCGGTACAGCCGTTTTGAAGATTACCCGGAACGAACGGGCAGACAGACAGACAGACAAAAAATATTAAAACTTTTTTGTCTGTTTATTTTTGGGCATAGGTATCATGCAAATAAACGTGTAAACATGAAAAAAAACTATTAAATTGACATTAAAGACAGACATTTGTATAGAAAACTTACACCCAGGCACATAACAAATGATCGTGCTCACACGTTGTTTGTCCTCGCTGGGAGTCAAACCCACGACCAACGGTTTTGCAGTCAGGACCACTAACCTCTAGACCAACAAGCCCTTCTTCTTTCCACGATGTCTCGATTTATGTACTCTACTTTTCAGTTGGTGGTGCGTCGCCGAGGTCGTCGAGGAGTCTATGCTCAACGCTGTACACCCGTGTCTTTGGACGCTTATAGTTTAGACAGCGTCAGCGTCGGCCATAGGAAAGGCAATCACCGCTTGAGGGCTAGCAAAAGGAGCTATGGGAACCCTGCGTATGATGATGAGGTAAGCAGTGGTGCTTACCTCGTAGTGGTATAAGACTATTAACCTATACCAAAGCCTAAGGATACTCACTCCCACATTCTTATATACTCACAACTATACAAGGGGGTGAGTAGATGCGTATCCATCGTCAACATCAGCCTATTGCCGCCCACTGAAGAACGAAGTCCTCCCTCCCGGACCGCCAGCTATCTTGGTCTTAGGCAGTCCGCATCCATCTGTTGCCAGCCATTTTCCTCCTCAAGTCGTCGGTCTATTGCGCTGGCAGGGCCCCCAATACCACGTTTGTCTAATCGCGGTCTCCAATCTAACACAATTCGGCTCCAGCGACATTCAGCCTGCCTGGCGACATGATGCGTATTATAGGCCCTTATTTTCGTCACCATCATTTTAATTCCACACAAGTAATAGAAGGCCTATGACCGACAATCAAGTACTTTGGGAATTAGACGGGAAAATTTCGATTATAATATAAAAGGAACTTTAAAAAACACTACTACTAAAACTTGTATACTTCATCGTCAAACTTTTATTTGCACAATTCAAGATCAATAATTACGAAGTAGTTTAAGTCATATTCCCTAGGTAGCGCTAGGTGTTGCTGTCTTTTTTTAGTTTCAGTGACCTTGTTTATGCCTTTTTAAAAACCCTCAGTATATTAACTAAGTTAAAGACCTGTAAAATACAAGTTTTATTGATTTTAGGTACAAAATAATTTTCAGGTGACTTCCCATCCAATGCAGTACGCAGCTTTGGCCAGCTTTGCATTAGACGTGGAATCCATGACGGCAGAATTCGCAGAGATTCCCTCTTTGACGGTCAGGCCTGAGGAAGTGCCCCCAGGCTGCGAGGACAAGAATAGGTACTCGAATGTACTTCCACTGCCTGAGACCAGAGTACCGCTGAAGAGGCTCGGAAATGATCCCACTACGGAGTATATTAATGCTAACTATATTACGGTAAGATATTACTCTTTCCACTCCATAGAGATGTCATATTTATTAGTCCAGAGAAGATATGAGATCAAAACGATAAATAGTATTAGAATATAACTTATGTGAGTAGTATTACATTTAATAAAATAAATACGGTTTCTTTCACGTGTATATTTAGAGGATTGCCGGCTACATATATATGTTTACGGTAATCAACTCGCTCACGATAGGTATTAAGTATTGCCTGATGACAAAAAAGATTCCCGACCAGCTACAGACGCGATGAAAGCGCCCCCCTTTTTTCAAGTATTGAAATATTCTGCCGCGAAGTTGCCAAGAATTACACTGGATTGATTCTTTTGCCGCAGGAACCTTGCTTACGAAGTTTTGCTTGTTTCCGCTGTACTATGTGTTGTTGCCATGTTGTTATTAACGGGCACTGGGGTACACTCTGGTAATTGCCTGTGTCACTTCTGTGAACAGGATCTGGTTTCATAGGTCGTAAACTGTAATACCGGAGCCGGGAATAGAGCAATGCCCAGGCACCGTCTCTGTTGTTGGACCCGGAATTCGGACGACAGCGTATCTCGATTTTTTTATTTATTTTACGCGGTACGAAATATTTTTTTTGGAAAGCGGATACTAGATTATATGCATCTACATATTGACAGCTAAACACGATTTTTCTTCCTTTTTTTGTATCTTTATTGGAGAAAACTCTTTTCACTGAAGAATTTGTTGTAAAGTTTTAAATATTCTCAAGTTCTAACGGCAAATTTGTTTGGGTTACATTATATTTTATGCAAATCGTTGTGTATTTTTAAATTAAACTATTGTGTAATAATACACTAAGTGCACTGTTGCATTAGGCATTTTTTACAACGATAACTGTGGGATATTAACACTTAACTGCGGTTGTCTATGGGTTAAGGTATTTCCCCGAGTTTAGTCGATCTATGTCAAGCAGAAATCTACTGGGGAAAACCGCGGAATTAAAGTTGCTTGACCGATAAAAACAATAATAATTTCACTTCATTTTATATTATAATATGCAAAAACCTATGTAGAAGCGAAAGCATCAATTACTGACTCACTCATTTACTGACTATTTGTGAAAACTCGAAAACCATTGGAAGTACGAAAATGGAGTTTGACAGAGTGAGGTAGATTATGGGTAGGAGGCGTCAGCTAAGAAAAGAAATAAACTAGTTACAAAAGCCGTTAAAGGGAGGCCATAGGGTTTTTATTAGTTTCTGTAAAAAATCTTGGCTTTTACCTGATAATTTAGAGTTAATTTGGACCTATACTTAAGCTTTTTTAACGCGTCTGTCTTGTGGTAGGTACAGGGGCTAATTCACGAAACAATCAATTTATATTTGGCTTAGTATACAATGCTGGCCAGACGGGTTAGATAGGGTTTGTGTCAAGTTTTCCTTCTCTTTGCAGTGCTGTTGTCTTGCGTATTTGGCTCCCTTAGTCGGCTCTTACGACACCCACGGGATGAATAGGGGTGGTAACATTCCGTATTCTTAAATTGTCACCACACGGATAATGTTGGTTTAAATGCGTCTCCGATCTAACATATTTATCACTCATCAGTTTACTGCTTATTTAGTTTACAGTTAAACATACAAATGAGAAAAAAAGCAGTTTTGAGAAATTATGAAGCAGTTTCTGCCAACAATTTTTACTATATAGTATTATATTTATCCAATGCGCTGCTTATAAAGGTTGTAAGGCGATGTATATTAAAGCTTTCTTCAATACTCAATAGGATACAAAAGAATTATATCTGACCAATAATTTCAGAGACGTATTTAAACCAACAAAAAATTAAACAAAAACCTTCTTAGCTTATTTTAGCAATTGTTTGACCATTATATGTACATACCCTTTTCTAATGGGGTACAGGTCGGAGTCTAATCTATTTATTTCTTCCTGATTCAGGGTCCAGGCAACATCCGGAACTACTACATCGCATGCCAGGCGCCACTCTCCAACACGGTGGTGGACTTCTGGCGCATGATTTGGGAGCAGAACTCGCGACTTGTTGTCATGCTCACAGAATATATGGAAAACGGGGTTGTAAGTGCTTCTTTTTAAGTACTCTAATTCTTTACCAGAAGAAATATAAAAAAAGGTTGTATAGCAGATAAGGAGTACCACATGTGTGTGAATCTTCTAAATCTTAGCAGTATCATCTTTTCGTTCTACACGGCAATATTTTCATCCTCATCACCTGGATAGCTGGCGCTCCACTACTTTGCGTTTTTCGAGACACTTTTTGCCCCGCACAACCAATCTGTGGAACGGGTTATCGTCTGCGGTATTTCCAGACCGATACGACCTTCAAACCTTCAAGAAAAGAGCGTAATCCTTCCTAAAAGACCGGCAACGCGTTTATAACTCCTGAGTTGCATACGTTCGTGGGCGGCTATGGTCACTTTCCATCAGGTGACCCATCTGCTCGTTTATCCCCTCTCTGCGATCCTATCTCTGCGATGAGCACGGTCATTTGTTCTGTGTCTGGGTGTAATTTATCTATAAAATGTATCTATTTAAAAAATATTTAAGTATGTTTATCAGCAGTCTGGTTACCATAGTACAGGCTCTGCCTAGTTTGGGATCAGAAGACTGCGTGTGAGATATATTATTATTATAACTCTTCATAAATTGTTCAGCAACTTAAGAGTTTATTTAGGGCGTATTGTTTAGCATCATAAAAATACAAAAAGAAACAATACTTTTTAAGTTATTAAAATTGTGAATTTTCAGGAAAAATGCTACGAATACCTTCCGCCATCAGAAATCTCAGACAACAAGCGTATCTTCGGAGACTTCAAAATCATTCTAAAGAAGCGTGAGCAACGCGACAAGTACGCTGTATCTAGTGTCCAGCTCATCAACCTCTCAACCAGGACCTGGAGAGAGATCACCCACCTCTGGTACTTCTGGCCGGCTAAGGGAGTACCTGATGATTATGACTCCGTTATTGACTTTTTGTGTGAGATGAGGAGTTATATGAAGATCTCACAGGCAGCTAAGGAGTATGATGAGGAAGGTATGTGGTAATTTTAATTGCTGTGCTTTTAACTTATAACAAAAACCACTTAAATTTTATCAATATTTTATATATCAGTTTGCAAGTTACGTAGGCAGAAAGTTTTTTTTAAATAAAATATAGCCATAGTGAGTGGAACTGAATTAAGCAATATTTTCCCTCCTCTCCTATTTCCAGGTCAAATTGCTTGATGAAGTGTATCCAAGCAGTTTGACCTGGATGGTCAATCTCAAGGCAGGTACCTCATTGCCACAAGCCAACAAGGCAGGTACCTCATTGCCACAAGCCACTAATTCATATCTATATATATATATATATAAGAGGTTTCCACGTATATAGTCACTCATCACGATATCTCTGGAACCATTACAGCTAAAGACTTGAAATTTGGTAGGAATATTCTTTGCACCGAGTAGAGGTCAGCTAAGAACGGATTTTAAGAAATTAAAAAAAAATTATGTAAATAGCAAAACAACGTTTGCAGGGTCAGCTAGTATACATATATAAGCAATATCTGTTTTCTACAAGACAGAAGGTACAAACATTTTTAGGTAAAATAGGTGAACATAATGACCCCGATAAATCTATTTGAATTGTTTTAAATTAGATTTTGGTTTATTTCTTATAATTTTTTTTAACGTGGGAGAATCATGCTCTCCTAAAAATGGGTCGGATTAATACCATGGCCTCACAGAAAACCAGTGTGAAGTTATTCTTTCTTTGCTTTTCACTGAGTGGGGTTACCGAAGCCCAAACCTTCCGTTTGTGGGCGGGGAGGGGGTTAGAACTCAACGGTTGTCATATGACTTGAGTTGCAGGTGTCTATGGCGGCGGTAGTCACTTACCATCAGGTGACATGACACTCGTTGGCCTCCCTATACCATAAAAAATCCGATACTAAAAACGTTCCTTCGTTTTTTCATATTAAACAAATATTCACCAAAGTCCCACACAATTTTTCAGGTGTGGAAGTCATATATGGTGACCAAAACCGGACATCCTTCAGTAATCTGTCGAAGCTGCGAAGTGATGATAGCGGTTCTGGTAACGGAGTGAACATCTATTCGCCTGCGAAGGCAGAGGAACAGATGCGAAGAGTTATGCACAATAATGGGACACTTGGGAGGATGAAGGCAGCTTCTGATGTTGAAGGTATGTTTACTGATCTGCGTTTAATGGCGAAAATACTGCAGTGTGTGGAAAAAGATGTAGGTAGGTTAATTATTAACAATTCAAAAATGTTTATTGGACTAGTTTATGCGTGAGTGCGTGCGTGCGCGTGTGTGAGTGTCTGTCGGCGCGTGCGCAGCAGTGTGTATGGATCTGTGTGTATGTAAAAACAGGTTTGAACCACTTTTTTGGCCAAAAGGGGGAAAAGGAGAACATATTTTAGGTTGGTCCTTGTGTGGTAAAGAGGGGTTGAAGGCAAATCAAATCCCGAGCGTATTATACGGCTCAGAGTAGGAGGTGCATGAAAAAAACTACAAATGAAAAATGTGCTCATGAATAAGTTTGTTTGCACAGGTATCCGGCCGTGCGTGGTGGTGTGCGCGAGCGGCGCGGGGCGCTCGGCGGCGCTGGTGGCGCTGGACGTGTGCGCGCGCGCGCTGCCCGGCGCCGCCGACGTGCCGCGCGTCGTGCGCCACCTGCGCGCGCAGCGCCCGCACTCGCTCTCCAACAGGCACCATTACATATTTGTGTACAAGGTGAGTGCCTCCTCCTACCTATTATATACGTATAAATAGCCAGTGCATATTCTTCTGTTTGTCATCGATGTTCAACTGCACGGTTGGGGTAGCCGTTAAAGTGGTCACCTTGCCGCTTCCCGCCGCGCTGAATGTTGTGGGTTCAATCCCCACACGGGACAACACTTTGTGCGGTCAACATTGTTGTTCTGAATGTGTTCTTTGTGTCTGTTTCATGATTATTTGAAAAGTCTCCCGCGACACCAGATATATTCTTAGTTCGGGAGCTGTCTTTAAAACAAAAATAGTAGGTATTGACAGGTTGTGCCATAAAAAGAAATAAATGAAAATAAAGTGTATGATATTTACATCTAAGAGGGTTTATGCGAGGATATGGCTATCGCCAAAAAAGTTATTATTAGTATTTTCAAATGTCGTATGTATTTTAGATACGTCTTCAATTTCTGCTAGGTTGATCTCTATTGTAGTACCGTTAAGAAAAGTTTAACTGTGTCTATATTTTTTCCAGGTTTTAAGCGAATATGGAAACAAAATGCTAGGTGGAGGAGTTGACACTATATAAAAACAAAGTTACATAACAACCTTATTATGACCCATGACAATGCTGACATGCTCAGCACATCAGAGAGTGCATGGCCAGCTTTAGATTAAAACAAAAACTATTTGGAACATACCAAAGTGTAAGATACGAGATCTCGTGAAAATTTGATAACTCAAAAATAATAATATTACATTATATGACAACATTTTTGATTTTATTATATTTTATTTGTAATATTAAAGATTTTTATTACCATTTATGTTTTGTCGCAAGTACGGCAACACTGCATAATTTAACGAAACTTGTACATAAGAATTATAAATAAGCATATTTTTGTTCGAACAATTTATTTTTATTTATTTTTAGGGATTATTCCACTAGTCTATCGATATTCGGTTTTCCTAAATAATATAGCATAATTCCAATCACAATTAATCAATTCTATTTTAAGCAGAGTTCGTTGCGTTTTGCTGTGATTTCTACTTTAACTTTATGTTTAGCGCTGATACCGAAACTACCGTTATTAGATATATTTAAATTTAAGATTACATTCTAAAATTAATCATGGCTTAGAACAACAGGCATAGAAAAGCATGATTTTAAAATAAAAACATAAAATACGTGTATGTGACCATCGTTGAAGGACTTTACTCTTTTTAGAAAAAGTATACACGTAAATAAAACTGTCTATCTGAAAAATACAATAAGAGCTGTTTTGGTCCTAGGCAGGTTGCCTCTGTGACGCCACACATACGCCCTAATATATTGGTACTAGTGAGAGTTATCAGGTAGAAAAAGTTGGTCACACTTGGTGACCTTCTAAATACAAATTTTGCTTTTTTTTATTGATTCATTACTATTTGTTATTTTGGTAGTTTCTGTGACTGTGGATTTCACATTTTAAATTTTTAATATTTAAAAAGAACTTACATTTGGTTACCTGTTGTTCAAAGTTATGTTTATATTAGTAATAAAATTAAAAATACTCTTTTAAATTACATTATAATTACACGTGACGGTGAAGTTAAATTTAATTTTTATTTGTATGTCTCTTATTTTAGATCTTGTATTTATATTGTTGGAATTTGTTGTTTAATATAATTATATTATAAGTTATATTAATAATGTTGATGAGCCTCCAGTTAGTTAAATATTAGTTTTAGGTTCGGAAATAAATGCAGAATATAAATTAAAATAACACAAAACAAAAATTGTTCATAAAAAATCTAACAACTTAAATAATGTCAACACAAAGTAGGTCTATGGTAATTACTTTTTTAATATTTAATATTTTTATATTATCATTATTTGAAAAAAAAACATTTAATTACAAGTAACTTTAAATTGTTTTGGAAGAAATGTTTGCACCAACCCTATAATACTTCATCAACAGCCTTTAGTAGTCCACTGCTGGCCATAGGCCTCTCCTTAGAAAGGAGGTTTTGGCCTACTATACCACGTTGACGAGACGGGTATAGGTATGGTGGGTGGTGGTATCGGGTTTGTATCAAGTTTTCCTTCTCTTTACAGTGCTGTTGTCCTGCCAAGTTTGCTCCCTTAGTTGGCTTACCACACCCACGGGATGAACAGGGGTGGTGACACTACGTATTGTTAATCCGTCACCACACGGACTCTATATATTACTTACTACCCATTAAATGTCATTTTGAAACGTCCTAACTAGGCAACACTACCATTGAAGCAAGCCGTATCTAAAAAAAAAAATTGACAGCAATAGTAAAAAAAAACAAAAAAATATTTAAAATCTTTTCCAGGTAACCCTTTTTGTCATGGGTGCAAACCTACATGATCTTAAAAATCAATATTAGAGTAGAATATCCATACACATATTTATGTTATAGTGATATTTATATGTTGTATATTTTTTATATAATTTATTATTATTCAGTGAAAAGGGGGCTTTACTTTTCTTGTTGTTATATAAAAGTCAAAGCATTTACATAATTAGTTTAAATGCACTGTTTTATCCCACACGTTATTAGTTCATAAGTTGTATTATTAATTTAGATATATGCATTTTATATTATAATTTAAATTTATTATTGACCAAAAATTTATATATTCTTACATAATAACATAATTGTATACGTCCTACAATTGATATTAAGATCTGTATTAAAATTAAATAAATTTATTATAATAAAAAATCTTTTTATTTAATAACACATCTGAGTCCGGCGGCGGCCAAATTCGTCGCAATGGAGACGCATTATTATTTTGTGCCCATTGCGGTGGAGACTTTGGGCAGTTGGGGGTCGGAAGCTAAAGATTTAATTGCGGATATTGGTCGCCGAGTTAGGGATAAAAGTGGTGACTCGCGCTCCGGCTCGTTTCTGGTGCGAAGGATGTCCGGAGTAATTCAGCGAGGCAATGCTGCCAGTATCATGGGCACCTTTGCACCGGAGCGCCGCGGTGCTGGTTATATGATAATATTATTTTTGAACATGGTTTCAAAGTAAGCAGAATAGTTTCAAACTAAGCAGACTTGTACTATGAAAGCTAAATTGACTGATAGAATACTTATATACTTTTGTTTTGTACATACATACATATTACACATAGAAATCAACCAAACTCTGAAACGAATATTTGCAGAACATTCAAACATTTGGTCCTGGGAATCGAACCCGTGACCTCAGCACAGCACCACCAAGGCAGTGTTTTAAATGGACACTTGGATTTTCTTCAGTCTTCATTTTTTTATATGATATAGGTGGCAAACGACCACTCGAGTTATTGACTATTTTATCTGTATTTTTTTTTAAATCTAATCGTTTTTTTATATCTAGGCAGAACAAATGATCATGATTATCACACAATTATCACTGTGGCAGAGCCATGTTTTTTCGAGCGTGTGTAACAAGATTTTTTTTCCGACACTATGGTAAACGTCTACCAGAAAGCGAAAGGAACATTCTTACGACCGGGGGTCCATAGACCCCTCACGTCATTCTTTTATGAAAGTGGGGTAAACGAGTAGACTGGTCACCTGATGGAAAGTGACTACCGCCGCCCATGAACGCCTGCAGCTTAGGAGTCACAAGCGCGTTGCCGGCCTTTGGGGAAGGAGTACGATCTTTTCTTGAAGGTCGTATCCGTCCGGACATACCGCAGACGATAACTTGTTCCACAGATTGGTAGTGCGAGTCAAAAGGTGTCTTGAAAAGCGCACAGTGGTTTGGGTATTAATAGGCCAGCTCGGAGTGACGCCACGGACTTGCAAGAAACGGATGTTAAGTAATTGTTTCCTTTCTTTTACCGAGTGAGTAAGGTAAAACCCCACCTCCCCATGATTCTTAAGGCTATGGGCGTAGCTAGCATTGGGCTCAGGGTAGGGCAGAAGTCTAAAATAATATGTAACTAGCAAACTACACCTGCGGTCGTACCCCGGTTTATTTTTTCATACAAAAAGGTTACACCTGTATCTGTACTCGTATGTATAATTCGAATTATCCAAAACACTTTCTTATTGCTCACCTACCTACACTACATAATCTTCCATCCAAAAATGTGTCTCTTACTTCAGCCATTTGGGGTCTGGGCGTATGCCAAGTTAGAGATAGGGTTAGGTTTGCTTAGGGACCTTCAGGTCAGAGCCTGGGTGGGGCAGGTGCCCCACCCTGCCCCTACGTGGCATAGTTGGAGGATAACATATTAAACGGAAACGTTTTTGTTATCATTTGCATTACGAGTATAAGTAATATGAACATAAGAGAACAAATTGAAGTATAGAAACAAAACAAAACGTTGAATGGATTTTCAGCTACATAATAATAGTATTGACTCGGCTATAATTGAACTAGTGTCGACTTGATTCCAAGCGCGTTATTGCGCTTCTAAATCTTCACAACTATCAGTATCAACCTCCGAATTCATAGCTTTGATATAGTCTCTATCAGTTTTATTAACCCCTGTTTTCTCAATTTCATAATCGACGTTTTCAATTATTTCTTCAGAGACGGTCTCATCGGAAAATTCAGTTGCCACTGATTCATCATTACATTCCTCATCAAAATCTGCCTTATTCTGATCACTTTCTTGTTCTTGGGGAATTGCGTCGTCAATCAAAGCTATATTAATACTGGTAGTTTCATCATAAGCGGTTACACCTTCATAATATAATTCGCCTTCGGAAGTATCTTGGAAACTAATTCGTTTATCTGAATGCGGGTATTTTTTGCCTTCCTCACTTACTAGTGACGTATGCGGGCTTCTAGCAGTATAGTCAATGTGAGAATGCTCTTTTTCCGTTTCTTCTAGGAGGTATAGATTCTCACTCTCACGTGTGTTGTATGGTTTGTGACGTGGCAAGTCACAGAAAGAACCTGCTAGAGACATTGATGAATCAGTTTTTATCCCTGAAAAATATAATGATCTAAATATTAATGAACCTGCTTTGAAAGTACGATTAGTTACACTTACTTTGAAATGATGTCAGCATACTAAGTTTAATTATTACTTAGTGTACTTTTGATTAGGCTGATCGCGCTGAAAATGTGATCGGGCCGCAATATCTGGATAGGCTGATAGGCAGGGAGAAGCCACTGGCTTTCCCTGAGATGGGGCCTAGTTAAGTGCGGCGTCGATCTAGGGGGACCTGAAATCACATGGCCCAGGTTCTCGGCGCCTAAGGTTGGCCGTCGGAGTGGTTATAGTGGAAACACCACATACTCCTGGCTCCTATATCCCCAAGGAGCCGGAGCTCCGAAGGCATTTTCCACTTCATCACCCAAAAAAAAAAACAAAGCGAGTCTACTTTTGATGAGGTAACTTACTTGCTAGGTTCAGACTGGCCGTTAGTTCAATCTGCAACAGAATGCAATCACCTCGGTCAAAGATAATATCGAGGCCTTCAGAATCAGTAGAGCTATCGATAGTATCGATAGTTTTACCCTTCCGTTTTTACACCTAATTTTTTTTTTTTAAGTAGTATTTTTGAAATTGCTTGCGAAATCGAAGATATTTTCGCTTAATGGTCTCAAAAATCGTTAATAGGCCTTAAAAAGTATGGGTATTATGGAACTTATAGTATTCATTCTATAGATTTTTTTTTATTGTATTGAAACTATGGATTTTATTTGAGGGATACTATATAACAATTGTCAGCCATCGCCAGTATTGATGCTTTGTAAATTGACGATATGTTTTGTTCTTGTTCAATGTTGATGAAGTTACTATTTAACAATTTAATAATATAATATTTTCACACATCTCAAACAGGACCGTCTAATCCCAAACTAGGCAGAGCCTGTACTATGGTAACCAGACTGATGATAAACATACTTATATATTTCTATATACATACATATTATATATAAATTACACCCACACACAGAAAAAATGACCGTGCTCATCACACAATTATTTGCCCTGGATGGGAATCGAACCCACGACCTCTGGCGTAGCAGTCAGGGTCATTAACCACTAGACCAACAGGCCAGTCAAGATCAATTAAGCAAAGCTATCGGTGTAGCAATAGCACTGTTATACAATAGGGCACCCTACTTCTTCACTACTTCACTTCCCTTCGCGGCACTGTGCGACTAACGTGTGACTTCATATGCTAACAATTTAAATATTGTTTTCTGTGTTTTTCTGCGACTAGTTCCCGGTTTGCGGGCGGCTAAAGGTTGTGTATAGTGTTTTAAAGAATATCAGTAAGTTTTTATTGTTTTTTAAACAGAAATATAGTGCTGAATTATTTTATTACGACTATTGGTGAGTAAATTTATTTTCTTTCTAAAAGTGGGTAGGAGGTATCCTTTGTTTATATTGATTTTTCTCTGCGTATTGTTTATTTTTAAACTTGTTCCTTTTGAAATTGTTGTTTGGTGTGTCTTTGTTTGGCTATGTCGGTCGTTAGCGAGTTGCCGGACCCCGGCGGTACAAGTGAATTTCTAACACCAACCGGGAAAAGGACATTTAACGAAATGTCACCTACGGATTTCTCGCCGAAAGACAATAGAAGTAAACGAATTAATAATTCGGATTTAAGTGGAAATGTTTCGTCTCTTAACGGTCGTGATAACTGTGGGGAATACAATTACTGCGAGTTAGTCTCACAGGCTACCGAGTACTTGGCAAAAATCAATGAATTAGTTAATGATCAGGGATCTCGGATGAATGTAGGTAATAAAACGGCAATTATGGATATTACTCAACGAATTACCGGTATCGTATCTTTGTTAGCAATAAAATCCTCTAGCAACGAAACGAAGTTAGCGAATTTTGAGCGACAAATGGAGGGTATCGCAACTCAACAAACGAGTTTAACGTACGCGGACAAACTTAAGCTTCGATTACCACCTAAATCTGCTCCGTGCCCGGTACCTACTGAAGCGCGCGTTCCTAGGCCTTGTGTTATTGCCTATCCCACTACGGAACGCTTAGCGGACTATGCGACCTCGTCAGCAACGAAACAAGCTCTCATGAAGGCTATTAAACCGAGCGATGAGGGATTTCAAATTGTAGGCGTTAAAAAAACCTCTAAGGCGGGCGTCGTGTTACGTGTAGCTAACGAACGGCAGCTTAAGAAACTGGAATCTGTGGACGCCATTAAATCAGTAGGGTTGCGCTTAGAAAAACCGAAAGGCCGTAGGCCCCGTATAATTGTAAAAGACGTACCCGGTTCTATGGAAGATCGTGCCTTCCTAACAGCTTTATACCGTCAGAATATCAAGGACGAATTAAAATTAAGTGAGAATGATTTTATTAAGTCAACCAAAATTGTTAGGCATCGTAAACTAGAAAATGGGCGTCAATGGATAGGCTTAGAATTAGAGGCAGCAGTTCGGAAACATCTAGCCAACACAAAAGATAAACTTTATATAGACTGGGCCACATGTAGATTCATAGACGATATAGAAGTAGTTCGTTGCTTAAATTGTCAGCAATTCGGTCATGTACAAAAGTTTTGCACTATTAAAAACCCCTACTTGTGCTAATTGCGCCGCCGCACACGAAACGCGAGCTTGTCCAGATAAAGACACACCAGATTTTAAGCCCACGTGCGCACAGTGTAAGCGGTTCAAAAAACCATCTGACCATCGATGCGGCTCATACGACTGTGCCACATACAAATTAAAACTGGAACAGCTAATATTAAATACCAATTACTGAATAGTTTAACTTAGTTTAAAAAAAAAAAAAAAAAAAAAAAAAAAAGTTTAAAGAGTAACTTACTAAGTAATGAATAATATTTCGATAGGCCAGTTAAATCTTCATAACGATAAAATAGCTACATCAGAATTAGACCGTTTAATTTTAGAACAAAAGTTAGACATTGTCCTTTTACAAGAACAATATCAGAGCGCTCACTTGCGTCGTAATGTAGTACAGCTTGACTGCCGTTCGCAGGCTGGGATATATGTTGCAAGTTCTAATTTTACGGTAACATCTTTGCGTAATCTTATGACGTCACACTGCGCCGTTGCTGAGATCTCATCCTCTACCTGTAAGGTTTACGTAGTGAGCTGCTATTTTCAATATTCACATCCTATTGATCCTCACTTACATCACTTACGTTACGTCTTGCAGTTCCTCGTGGGACATAAAATTATCATTGGCGCTGATGTCAATGCGTCATCTTCATTATGGTATGGCAAGTTGCGTTCAACCGACACGGTTCGACGTTGTGCGGTTGAAGATTTCATTGCGGAAATGAATCTTATTATTCACAATACCCCCGATGCACCACCAACTTTTTGCAACCCAATGGGTGAGTCTTCTATTGACGTGACGCTTACGCGCGGCGACGTCTCGATATCCGGATGGCGTGTCCTTCCGGACGCATCCTGTAGTGATCACCGCTTGATCGTGTACGAATTCACACCAAGGGTTGCACAGGATCCACAAAGGGTTCCCTATAATTTTAGATATAAAACTAAAGGTGCGAACTGGGCTTTGTTTGGTTCACTCTTTGCAACTCATACCAAAGACTTCAGTCGCAGTAGTTTATCAGCTGAGGAAAGCGCAGAAATACTATCAGAAACTTTTACATACTGCGCTGATGTAACTATTGGTCGCGGATCTATCACTAACACTCGTAGATGTGATTGGTGGAATGATAGATTAGCCGAACTACGTAGAAGCTACCGGAAAGCTCGTAGAAAATTAAACACTATTAAAAAACATAACGTAACAGGAGATTTGTACAACATTGCTCTCATTGCTCTTAGAGTTGCCAGGTCCCACTACAGAGCTGCTGTGGAAAAATCCAAGGGAAACTTAATTCAGAAACTTGTTAATAAACTCGATAGAGAGGGCCCGTGGTCACCTTTGTATCACGAATTTAAGGCAAATAGATCAATCGACCACGCATACATACAGAACATCAAAATTAATAACAGATATACCACAGGAGTAGAACAAACAGCAGAATATCTTTTAGACTCACTCGTACCTGACGATCGACCGGAAAACGACACAGATCATCACCGACAGATCAGGCAGTGGGCCATCGAACCACCACTGTCTCCAATGTCTGATTTACCATCTTCAGACGAATTTCTCGGTATCATTAGATCCTTGCCGCTAAACAAGGCTTCGGGTGATGATAAAATATCTAACAAAATGATAAAAGAAGCTTGTAAACTTTCGGGTGACACGATTTTCACTGTCTTTAAACGTTGCATTGCTGAAGGAATATTTCCTCGTATATGGCGGTGCGGTAATATTCGTATAATACCAAAAAGTGGCGACAAGCCACCGGATGATCCTAAATCCTACCGACCAATCACATTGTTACCATCGTTAGGAAAGCTTTTAGAACGTCTTGTAGTGCCCCGGCTTCTGCCAGGTGGAGTCAAATTTCATGATAGACAATTTGGATTTACGTTGGGTAAATCGACAACTGACGCTGTTATATCGGTTAGAAAGTTTGTCACAGAGTCAAAATTTCAATACGTGCTGGCTATTTTCTTAGATATATCTGGCGCCTTCGACAACGCATGGTGGCCCATGCTGTTGCTGAAATTAAAATCACGGGGGTGTTTTAAAAATATTTATTCCCTTATCTCTTCGTACTTTTCACAAGGTACAACTAAACTAAGACTTGGTCATCATTCTGTGTCGAAGGCGCTTACAATGGGATGTCCTCAGGGATCGGTGCTAGGTCCATACTTGTGGAATATCGGCTTCGACGATTTTCTTACGATACCAATACCATCCGGATGTACTCTGAACGCGTATGCTGATGACGGCTTATTACTGGTGGAATCTGATACTAGGGCGGGGCTTGAGAGATTAGCCAATAGATGTTTGAACTTGATATCTCAATGGGGTGAACGTAATCGCTTAACTTTTGCACCCAACAAAACCTTCCAGTTACTTTTAAAAGGTAACCTCAAATCACCGCCGAGCATTAGATTTGACAATGTTACTGTAAAAAATAAAACCACAGTGTGTTATCTAGGATTAGTTTTAGAAAGAAACTTTTCATTTATCGAACATATTAAAATAGTTAATGAAAAGTCTAAAAAGAGTTTCTGTGCATTGACAAGGGTATCAACTGCGACATGGGGTCTATCATTTAATACATTAAAGATCATATACGGAGCTACTTATTTAGGTTCTATGTGCTATGGTGCACCTGTGTGGGCCGATAGGGCGACCGTAGGCGCTGTCCGTCGCAAACTGTTACAAGGCCAACGACTTGCACTGATATTTTTGTGCAAGGCATATAGGACGGTTAGCACTGAGGCTTTGCCGGTGTTGGCAGGTGTCCTTCCGGTCGATCTCGAGGTGCAGAGACGTGCAGCCATGTACTATTCAAGACAAAACATGGAATGCGATTTCTTGGGCGCGCGGGATCGCGGTAAAATTACAAGATTGCTTCAACAGCAGTCCGATGTCTATAATGACCTCATAGACGAATGGCAGCAACGCTGGGACGAATCATCCAAGGGGCGCCATCTTTACCAATTTTTTCCATCTGTTCGCGAACGGTTGTCGAGGACATGGCTTGAGGTGGATCACTGTGTCGCTCAATTTCTTACGGGTCATGGTAACTTTAAGAGCAAGTTGTATTCATTTAAATTAGTCGAGTCACCATTGTGTCAATGCTCAACACCTAACTCTCATTATGAACAGTCTGCTCATCATATCCTCTGGGAATGTAGTCTTTGGTATAATGAACGTAATATAATGCTGAATAGCTTGCAGGTGACATCTGGGGCGGTATACTATGGGGATCTTGTGTCAACTAGGGTGAATTTCCGTGCGTTTAGGCGATTCTGCCATACATATTATAGAAATCAAATATAGCTCATGTAGGACCCGTAATATTTTGTGGCCGTGGTGCTTCCCTGTTTAAAAGGGTGTATGCCTATTTCACTTCATTTTGTCTCCCGCTTTGCTAAGGAGGGAAGTGGATTTACTGTATTTCCAACTCCTCCAATTTTCTTCTGATTAATTTCGTTGCGGGTTCCAAGACAGTTTAATTTCTTCCTGGGACTTCCCGAGTGTCATAACTCGGTGTGTTCGTGGGTCACTGCTGTGGATCCTGGTGTACAGGAGTTACAGTGGTGGGCGTGTGGGTGGGATTAGTCCCAATCAAAAAAAATAGGGCACCCTGATTTCGTTCACCCCCGTTTCTAAGGAGCAAACACTATTAAGACCTCATAAAGATAAATTTCAGGCGAATATAGATTCACTTCAGTCGAAACATTATCCTCATATGATACTAGAAGTTATTCCCAAAACTTCTCCATGTTTATAGGTAATTATTATCATAAAATCATAACACTCTGTCAAATAAGTATTTCACAATAAAACAAAATAATCCCACCACGCAGCATTGTAGTGGAGATTTAATTCGGTTGATTTTCACCAATAGCTCGGCTGATTTGTATCTGGTTGGGACTTAAACAAATGAGGTTCTGAAAGAGACCAAAGAGGCAGTAACTAACCTGTTGCTGCATACGTTCGGAGAGACTTGAATTATTTGAAGTTGGCGCAATATGCCCAGGCTCTGCGTAACTCATATAAGTCCTTATTGGTATTTCTTGTTCTTTCTTCGAGGCAATTTCTCGTCTTACGCCATAAGCACGATATGAAGCCTGAAAAAAGAGCAAAAACACTATAAATACATATATTTCAATACTTGTTAGTCATTTCGGTCGGTTCTCAGTCCGTACAGGAGAGCTCCCGACTACTGTTAATCTTTCAAACAATTTGTGACATTATCGTCACATTAATTTGAGTTAATCGATAATGTAACCAGTAATTTGTATATATTTCATGTTGGAAAACAACTTACAGACAATCATAGTTGCTTGTCTGTAAGTTCTTTTCATTCTCTTCATTTATATTATTCTACGTTTACATGTGTGCGTATTAATAGTAAATAACTTGTTTCTACACCCACATTTGCAAATTATTATCGTTTAAAACAAATTCTGAGCTATTAGTTTCATTTTCTCTAGTAATAATTCATCATTGAATTACTTCAGGTACTGCTGACCAGGTATTTCGTTTGGCGTGTATACGTTTCAACCTGCTCATGTCACGGCAACCACCACCCCACCCCGTCCGCATTTTTTTTTTTTTTTTATGTGTGGAAACTCTCTCGGGCCGTCACCCCACCGGGGTTTGCGGCGAGGTGGTGAGTCGGAATCGGACCGACTAAAACCACACGGCGCGACCCCTCCTAGCGCCTGCCCGCAACGGAGCGGGCACCACCTTCGGGTACATTCTCCATTTAGGCGACATCCGGCACACGCGGACATCGCCTCCTCGCGGCTGGCCGTTATGGTGGGTGGAGGGAAAAAACCCGTCCCGTCCACCCGCGGCCACACTCAGGGCAGCGTGAGGCGGTGGTAGGCGCGCCTCCGCCGCCCGGTTCGACGGCGTGTGCTGAGCCGAGTCCTCATTGCAATCGCAGTGGTGACAGGCGGGACTCAATTCCCTCCTGCCGACCGGGTGCGGCTACTTCCCGAAGCAGCCGTGCCCAGAAAGGACCTGCGTCAGCCGGAAAGAAAGGGTCTCGTGCTGCAGCCCTGCCCACTCGACGATCACCGGCTGGAGCGCCTCCACGGTGGCAAAGCAAAGCACGTGGAACCTGAAGCCGGCACGACCAATGAGCCATCGTGGTTCGACGAGCGGCCTCACGCCACTCGCGTATATCTTCGGGCGGGGGCCGACTGCCACTATCCGTCCGGTACTCAGCCCTCCGCCGATATACTTCGGAACGGTGCGGTAACCGCGTATGGCTCTATCCAATTTCCTCTGAGGGCGCCAGAGGCGGCCCTATTCTGGGCGGCCAGAGCCGCCACCCACACCGGTACACCGTACAGTGCCATTGACCGGACAACCCCCGTGTACAGCCGTCTCGTAGCGACGCTGGGTCCACCCAAATTAGGTAAAAGTCGCCCAAGGGCAGACGCAGCGCCGATGACCTTTGGAGCAAGCTGTCGGAAGTGCTCGTCGAAGAGCCACCTTCCGTCGAGGATCAGGCCCAGATATTTCATTTGGGCCAGAACCGGTACGAGGACCGAGTTGACCACGCCCCGTCCGCATTCTGACCCAACCTTAAACTAATGTTATTAGTGATCAAAGTTAAATAGAAAGAAATAATACTTCAATTTTCGTAGCCATCGCTCCGTATAGTCCATCTGCGGGTCCTGATTGTTGATAGAGCTTTAGGGTATGAGACACTGCTGATGCTATCTCGTCTTTGTCGTTGTCTGATGTTAGCTAGAATGTTTTAAATTAGAAACAATTGATAGGAAATCATTAGAAAATTGACAATATGGTGGGTAGGGCACACGCGCTAAAGTTTAATAACTCAAGTATATTTAGTTTTTTGGTAACGCAGCTGGCTGAAGGAATAATAATTATCTCAACTTGCATAAAATCCGTTAAAAAAATACGTGTTATTGAAATCAGCACTGCAGTGTATCCAAAGTAAGAACATCACACCAAAATTCATCATTTTAAAATAATAATTTAATTGCTGTAGTGGTCGTTGTCACCTGATGACGATGCAACGGCCTGTGGACTTAGTCTTGGTATCTCAATACTTCTTTTGCTTTTGTAATCTCAAACTCAAACTCTCTTTATTTCATAAAAAAATAAAATTGTTTGAAATCGTCTTTTATGTAGACTCTAAAGTTATAGATCAACACACACAAAAGCAACAATCTCTGTTTTGTCAAATAGTAAGCAAAAAAAATTAATAAAAATCAAACCTATACAAAATCTACGATATGCCTGTGCCGATCTACAACAGGGTTGAGTCTTATGAGAAGAAAGGGCAAACAAACTCATGGCCACTATTTTGCAATTCACAGATAGATACAATGGCACTAAAAGGACTAAAAGGTAAAAAGACAATGAAGAGAAAACCAGATTAAGAAAAATAAAAGAGAAAATGAAGTGAAACATAAAAAATATAAAAAAGAAAATAATAATAAGAAATACACTAGCCACATTACATTTTTACTTAAGAAAGAAATAGCCTGCGCCCATCATGTACAATATTTGTCTATACAAATATGTTATGATAAAAGCTTTCGAATCTAGTACAGCTGATTGAAAACTAATTAATGATGTTCCCGTAGTCTGATATAAATGTACAATTATTAAACTTTTAAAACATCTGTTATTAAATAGAGAGTAACCTCGTATTTAGGTATGTTATGTGATTGATGACGTATATAGGCCAATCGCACTGCATTGACAACGTCTGGGTACATATCGGCTTCGATATTTGTTTTGGCCAAAAGAGCTGCCAAAATAGTTCTTTCGTTAACTGAAATAAAAATGTTAATTTAATTTGTTTTAGAAATCCTTGTTGTTCATTGAAATTAAGTTGTTATTACTAGTACAAATAAGTCAAAATTATTCTGCATCTCGTATTAGCTTGGAGCATTCTGGTTTAGTGCTCTCATCATTTCTTAGCAAGAAGGTTTAATAACACTTTCAACAAAAAGTTCTGTAAAAACATTGGTAATTTTTTTAATTAACTCAATTCATATTATTGGACGATTACTATTATACATAAAAAAGTCGGTTAAAAATGATACAAAGTATGTTGTCTATAATATATTTAGACAGTGCCCAGTAAAGTGTGAGTCGCCGAACCTAAGGCTCGACTTTGATTATCAACAACTCGTGAGTAACATAAAATTATTTTTAATTAACTTTAAATAAAGTTTATTCTTCATTTCTTAATTTTACCTTTTAGAGGTGGTATATTTAGATGAGAGATTTACACTCCTATAAAATAATTGAATGTCTTTGAAATTTATTAAACGATTAGCCAAAAAAAAAATATGCAGCCGAGTAGACACCCTCTTTTATGAAGCCGTAAAAAAGCCTAGAAAATGCCTACGGCATTAAGTACGCCTTTGCCACATTTGAGCTTAAAGTTTTAATAAATAATAAGTAAATAAATAAAAATCCCTTTGGCATTTCCATTTCATAACTTGTTTTAGAAATAAAATATAATAACTTACCTTCTTCTTTTTGTAAATTTTTCAGAACAATATCCTTGACTTTTTGTGCGTTGTGCTCATCCAGACCTAACTGTTCTAGTTCGATGAGCAATTCTGGTTGACAGTCACACTGGCACACATAGTCGCATACTTGATCCGCAATGGATAGGTGGTCTCGCGTTACTAACAACGCTGAGAGATAGTCAGCGATGAAACGGTAGAGGTTAGAAGGTTGAGCCCGTAGAACCTATATATGATAAAGAATTACACTAATATATTAGGTATCTGACTATGGGAGAGCCATGCTTCAGCAGATACGGGTAGGCTTGACCGGAGTGATAACAAAGCAATACAAAACCGATGTTAAGCAATTCTGTCGATGTTTTTCACCGAGTGAATGAATTTACTGAAGCCCAAACGCTCCCTTCCCTTGGGGGCAACGCATTTTTTATTTAGGAGTTGCAGGTGTCGCTGGATGACGGTAGTCACTTAACTCGTATGACTCGTCTGCTTCCTACACAATAAAATAACAAGAAAGTGTAGAGTGACCATTATCTTAAGAGTTTCTGTCAAACTCAAACTTTTGCCGTTAAAGTAAGTTGCTGATCACTACCATCTGGGAAATTACTGAACGCTTCACATCAACAGCCTTTGCCACTGCTGGACATAAGCCTCTCCCTAGAAAGGAGGTTTTGGCCTACTATACCACGCTGACCAGACGGGTTGGTATAGAGTTTGTGTCAAGTTTTCCTTCTCTTTGCACTACTGTTGTCCTGCGTAGTTTGCTCCCTTAGTCAGCTCTTACGACACCACCGCCGGGATCAATATGGGTGGTGACACTCCGTATTCTTAATCCGTCAACGTCTATAGGGTGGTTCTATTAGCAGCAGAAACCTGTTATTATTAGTTGCTAAATCTTGACTGATCCGTTAATGTAGTGGTTAGTGATCTTGGCGGCTAAACCAGAGGTCGTGGGTTCGATTCAAGGACAAATATTGTGTGATGAGCACGAACGTTTGTATCGTATTTGTGTCATTTGTATTTGTGTCTGGGTGTAAATTATCTATATTTAGAAATAAATAAGTATGTTTATTTAGAAATATGTATCCAGTTGGGTTTGGCCTACCCAACTGGGTGGTAAGACAACCTGGTGAAGGCCGCGGGAAGACGTTAAATACAGGCAGCACAGGACCGGTTGTTCTGAAGAGCTTTTGGGGAGGCCTATGACCAGCAGTGGACGTCTTTCGGCTGCGATGATGATGGTCATGGCAAGGCTTGCCACCTACTACGTAAGTGGAACTAAAATTACTTCCTTAGTCTCCATAGACCCCTTCGGGAATATAGACGTGAGGCCGTATATCATCTTGACAATTTCTCAAATTTGGGGCCAGCGCCATAAGTTTTAGTAGAAGTAATCCTTTTCTCTTTTACGCGGTCCATTCATCTTTTCATACTTTATAACTGACTAAGCTTGTAACTATTATTATGTTTTTTCTGCCCTATGACAGCTTATTTAGTTGTTTGTATTGACCTAATATTATTTTTTTTACTCTGCTTGACATAAATATTTTTATTTTAATTAATGTTTTTGCATGCCACTATACTGGTAAAAAATATTTGTGTCTTCTACTACCCATTGTAACACCATTTCTCGGAATATTTTTGCAAATAAATATGATTCTGATTCCACTCTACTCTAGTATCCGTCAACTTCCATACTTTCTTTACTACATTTGACCTGCCTTTCCGTATCACATGTGAGGCAGGTATCCACAGACGATACTTCCAGGCATATGATGTATGTGTTTATTTATTATATGATATCTACTTACTTCTCTAGAAATATCGCCCATCAATTCCCTTAACCCATCTGGCAAATTCAGTCTACAGTCCTCGATTAAATTTTTAGAGGATGTCCCTTCCATAGTTATGGACATATTTGTCAATGGCAGATCCGTAATATATTCTAGTTGGCCACGACATTGACGTATGAAAATATATATAGGCTTATGTTAAGGAGTTCAAGATTCGTTGCTTTTTAATGAGCAAGAGAAGTTAAAGGGCCCACCCTTTATTCTGCATATGCAAAAGAAAACAGCCATTTCGAAACATCATCAATCATGAACAGCCTATAACAGTCCACTGCTGGACATAGGCGTCTCCTTAGAAAGGAGGTTTTGGAATACTAATATCACTTCTGGAAGGAGCTTGGCTGGCTCACCTAGTCAACCAATCCTCGACGCATAAAGGACCACTCTGAGTCTAAATGCGGAAACCGAAGCCCACAACCAATACCAATACCAATCACGCTGGCAAGACGGATTGCTATAGTTTGTGCCACGTTTTCCTTCTCTTTGCAGGGCTGTCGTTCTGCGTAGTTTGCTCTCTTATTATACCACCTACTATACCACACTGGCCAGACGGGTTGGTATAGGGTTCGTTTCAAGTTTTCCTTCTCTTTGCAGTGCTGTTGTCCTGCGTAGTTTGCTCCCTTAGTCGGCTCTTACGACACTCACGGGATGAATATGGGTGGTGACACTCCGTATTTTCATTCCGTCACCACACGGATAAACGGCACGACAATTTAAAGGCTTCGCACGGGTAGTACAACATATATTATGGCAACATGTTTTATAACTGTAGTAGGGTCGCATCAGATTCTTACGTCGAGTATGTGGATTGGATTTAAATGTAACAGATAATGTCTACAAAGGAAGCCGACAGATTCCAAGCGGCTTGTATTTTTCCTACATTTTTAATTTATCATGACGCATCACTATCCATTTATGCTTTCAAATCGTTTTTTTTTTTTTTTAGTTTATCGCCAACAGATATACAGGCAGACGCAGCGGGTAACAAGTATAGATTTGGGCATAAACATTGAAACTTCTTGATAAAATATCGGAGTCGGGTCCGCAACTAGTCGTCCGACTAGTTGCGACCCGACAAGCTTAGTCAAGTATAAAGTATGAAAACTTATTGCGGCGGCCCCAAATTTATTTGAGAAATGGGCAAGATGATATACGGCCCACGTCTATATTCCCGTAGGGGTATATGGAGACTAAGGAGGTAATTTTAGTTCCACTTACGTAGTAGGTGGCAAGCCTTGCCATGACCATCATCATCACAGCCGAAAGACGTCCACTGCTCCAAGACGTCAACAGATATACAGGCAGACGCAGCGGGTAACAAGTATAGATTTGGGCATAAACATTGAAACTTCTTGATAAAATATCGGAGTCGGGTCCGCAACTAGTCGTCCGACTAGTTGCGGACCCGACTCCGACTGAAATACACATATGAGTAATACCATATCTCTTTAATAAATATGAATGGAAACTCATGACAGCTTTTACTAAAATTTGTTTAACAATAATATAATCCTTCAATAGATATAGTTAAATATTCCACTATAATAATTATGGGAAAACATCAACAAAAAAGAAAAAGTCTAATAAACAGACCAAACTAAACTCTTCACGGTAAGAAATACAATTCAATACTGTTTGCACATTATTCTCCGCCTTCGCCATCTACAGTCAAATCTTCAACATCAGTGTTGTCAGCCGTGTCAGGAGCTGACTGAGCGCCACTCTCTGTGTAATCGTCGTAAACTTCACCTGGAGATAATATAATAAGAATGCATGAAATAAAATAGCCGCTTTCCATAAGATTCTTCTCTACTTTCCGATTTCCGATTGGGTAATCGGAAAGTGTAACCGAATCACGATTAGAGGGCTGGGATTGCCCAATAATACCAAGTTTTAGCTACAGGTATACGACTCTGACTTGCCCGAGCCTTGCTCTGAGTTGAGATGGACGGATGGGTTACGGAGGGTTAGCTGTTGCCAACCCATCCGTATAAGCAATATCCTACAATTACCTTCTTTTCTCACCTATCTTTTTTTTAAATATTTTTCCAATTTTTTCATCTCATCCATAAAGCGCCCAATTAATAATAATAATATTTCGGACATCTAACACACAACGCCATCTAGTTTCAAACTAAGCATAGCTTATACTATGAAAGCTAGATTGACTGATAGAATAGTTATATACTTTTAGAGTTAGAAAACACCAAAACTCCGAAAAAAATATTTTCAGAGTATACAAGTATGTGGTCCGACCCGGTAATCAAAACCGAGACCAGCAGCAGCCTCATTAGAACAGCAGCCTTATTCACTACTACTTTGCCACCGAGGCAGTCAATAGGCTTGCCTCCTAATAAGTGAGACACATATAATGTGGTCATCTCGTACGTATGAACGACCCCAGACTTCACAAAACTTGTTTTTACACGCTTTATATTAGTTTCACTTGTATGTTTGTATGTTTGTTTGTAAGCGACTCCTTTGGGCGTGATTTTGACTTTAAACGGTCAGAATTCGTTCAAACTTGTAGATAGGTATATCGAGGACCTATGACAATAAACAAATTAAAGAAAATATTTATTAAAAAAAATATTGTTTTTTACTTTTACTATTGAAAACAGGCACTCAACGCTTTTTTTAAAATTTGTTTTCTATTTTTTAGTTTGGTTTTCTGTGTTTTTTAGTTTTTTTAAACTATTATTTTTTTCTCTGAATTCTCTCGTTGTAAACCCAAGCCGAGGGGACAAGTCCTCCGCTACAAGTACGTCTTGAAACGCCGTCTAACAGCATATGACATGTCGTGGAGACTCGCAAAATCTCATTCACGAGTGGCGTAGGATCATCTATGAGGCTACTGAGTAATATCTATACAAATAAATAAATAACATCAGATAACTCGCCTTGAGAGCAAAAGCTTTTAAAAACCCAAGCTCGTATATACCTATAACTCAGCTAGTCAAATACACTGTGTGTCATAGGACAAAAACTTAAGAACTTTGGGTTAGCAGGTGATTTCCGCGCTCATAATATAAATTCAGACTGACATTCGCCAGACTAATACGTAGCAGAAGACATCAAGTGGGATTAAACTTATTGTTGTTGGCAAAAATTGACGTCTGATACGCCTCTGCCTTTTAGGCGTGATATATGCGTGAGTGTATTCTAGAAGTCATATCATCAACAGCCTTTAGTAGTCCACTGCTGGATATAGGCATCTCCTTAGAAAGGAGGGTTTGTGTCAAGTTTCTCTTTGCAGTGCTGTTGTCAGGCGTTGTTCGATCCCTTAGTCGGCTCTTACGACACCCACGGGAGGAATATAGGTCGTGACACTCCGTATTTTTAATCCGTCACCTCATCAACATCTAGAAGTACATTATCACGATTGTTCTAATGCTATGTTAAATATACCTATGTCTTCAGGTACTTCATATTGAAAATCTTCATCGAATCCTAAATGCTCTACTCTCTCTTCTGGCACCTCAGCCAAAGTATCTTCTATTCTTTCATGCTTAGAGATAACTTCTGGAATCTGGAAGTAACATCACACACAAGATACATAATGCTTTTTTAAAGACAAGACCCGCATGAGGAACAGACATACATGAAACGGAGACAAAGAACACCCAGACTCAGAACAACAATTTGATGATCACACAAAGTGATGTCCCATAAAAGTTCCATCGTCTTGATTCAAACAGTATCAGACAGAATCAGGATTAAACGAATTTATCGGTGCCCTTTTTTTCTTTTTTTCCGTGTGGAAATCCCCTCGGATACCACCTGTCGGTGGCATGTCGGACTCGAACCGACTAAAACCGCACGCCGTCTCGGGTACTAATAGCCGGGGAACCACGTATACCCTAGAAAGGAAGTCCCTGGTGCCCCGACATACCTCGGGTCATCTACAGACGAGTAGACGACCCCCCCCCCCCCGTGTGGGAACCCCATGTTCCCTGTGATCCCTGGAAGCGAGCGCGCTTCGCAACGCGCAGATGGCCTCACCTGTCATCCCCAGGCCTGCGCTTATGGAGGACGGAGGTCGTTCTGCGACCTCCGGCGCGTGAGTCGCCTGCGGTACCTGGCCCGTTCCCGGGCCTGGCGGGCCGGAAGAGTCCTAAACCTCTCCCGGTCCCGCTCCGCCGTCTCCTTCGCGAGCATAACTTGCTCGCAGAAGGAGACGGCAGAGTTCCACGCACTCTCGCTCCGCACGATAGCCGCAATCAGGCTATCGAGCGAGAGAACTCCTACTCCGATGGCCGCCACGAGGTCTCGCCTCTGCTCAACCCACGCCGGGCACTCTGCCAGCGTGTGGAGAGCCGTGTCCACGGTCTGGCCATCGCAGTGGTGGCACTCAGGCGTTGGCTCCTTGCGGATCAGACACAGGTGATCCCCGAAACATCCTTTCCCAGTGATCACCTGCGTCAGTCGGTATGAGAGGGTCCCGTGACGCCTCTCGAGCCAATCCTCCATAACGGGTCTTACCGCCGCGATGACGGCGTTTATCGGTGCCCTATCATTTAGAGACATTCAACCAAGTTGAAGTATATTTAAAAATAAATAAGTCCAATGCCCTCACTAACACTTAATGAAATTGTCGTAAGATCATCATTCAGCGTTACGGGTTCACTCTATTGTTGTTTTGAACAATGAACTCCTTGGAATGCGGTCAATACGACCTTTCGACTTTCACTTTTGTTTGGCAGTGTAGCTATTTCTAGTTATTTATAATAATAATAATTTATATAATAAATCTCACACATGTCATACACGGCCGTCTGATCCCAAACTAGGCAGAGCCTGTACTATGGTAACCAGACTGCTAATACACATACTTATATATTTTTAAATAGATACATATTATAGATAAATTACAGCCAGACACAGAACAAATGACCGTGCTCATCACACAATATTTGTCCTGGGTGGGAATCGAACCCACGACCTCCGGTTTAGCAGTCAGGGTCACTAACCACTAGACCAACAGGCCCGTTTATATATTAATACCTTTTGCCCGCGGCTCTGCCCGCGTGTAGGTCGGTTATGGGAAAAAAATACCGTATGTCTCTCCTCAAGAATCTAAGTATGTCGATACCGATTTCCCATCAAACTTCTATCAACTTTTATCCTCTTAAAGTATGATTTTTGGGATAAAAACTAACCTATGTCCTGTCCCGGGACTATATATAATAATGATATTTTTAGACATCTTACACACAACGCCATCTAGTTTCAAACTAAGCAGAGTTTAAGTTTAACCCGGGAATCGAACCCGAGACCTCAGTACAGCAGTCGCACGGGATACCACTGCACCACTGTGGCAGTCCAATTGAAAAATGTCTATACCAAATTTCATATGAATCAGTTCAGCGGTTTAAGCGTGAAAAGGTTACAGACAGACAGACAGTCAGAAAGACTCGCAGACTTACACTTTTACGTTTATAATATTAAGTAAGTATGGATGGTCGGTTGTAACATACTATTTTCCATTAGGTCCCGGGTGCCTCAAACCAAAATTAAGGAATTAAATAAAGTCATACCCCCGAAAAAGATATTCTGGTGCCACGTGCCATTTGTTTTTCATCGGCTTCGAGCGCTTCTTTATCTACGTGTAGAGTTTCTGAAACAAAGTCGAAGTGCATGAATTTATTATTTTTATTTATTTATTTTTAAAAAGACAACGCCCGCATTAGGAATATATCCTGTGTCGCGGGGGACTTTACAAACATACATGAAACGGACACAAAGAACACCCAGACTCAGAACAACAATTTTTGGATCACACAATGTGTCGTCCCATGTGGGGTTTGAACCCACAACACACGGCGTAGTAGGAAGCGGCGTGGCGACCACTTTAACCACTACACCATCCGTGCAGTCATAGTCAATTTAGTATTAGCTTATATAATTCAGTTAAAAAAATAATGATAAAGAAAAAATATTTATTGTCAAGTAATTATTAATAATATTGCCAATGGCCCCATACTAGGCAAGCCTGTCTCATTATTTAAAATGAGAATGAAAGAAAATGAGGATGAAAGAGATCAAATGAGTTAAGTTTTTACTCAGAATTGGTAATAGAAATAATGGTCACATCACCATCGACTTATTTTATGTACATAACCTTCATCCCTGTTCACATGTATGGCGTAACATGGCAATACCACACTTGGTGATTCAGGACGTAGGTTGGTATGGAACACTGTAAATTGTCGTAGATCGATGTCGAGGCTAGATCCTACAACACAGGGAATCCTAGTGTGGGACCTAGAGATCAAACCCTGTATTTGTATTTTTTCTGAGATTTAGTCGGCTGTTACGACACAGACGGGATGAATTGGGGTAGTGACATTTTGTATTCTTAATCCGTCACTACACGGACAATAGATTACACGGTAGATGCATTTTGGGAGCAGACCTAGCTCTTCAGGAATATGCCAAACCGACTATAAGGGTTATAAATAATAGAGATTTTAGAAATACACTAACCGTCAACAACATTGGCTCTGGACTCGTAAGGTTTGTCTTCATCTTCGTCCTCATCCACAAAATCTCCAAATAATTTGACGCCTTTCTTCGAAGGCGCACGGAGGTCCTCCTCATGAGTGATGGTCTTTAAGGGATCGTAGTGTATACCGAGCTTCTTCTTTTTCTCTTCGTCAAATAATTTATCAACATTATCTTCTTTGATGCATGTTCTTATATTCTGTGTTAATATTTAAGTTTTATGTGAACTGGGAGAGATATTGAAAGGACTGTTGAAAACTTTAGGAGAGCTGTGCTTCGGCACAAAAGGGATCAGTGTAGGGATGGAATAAAATCACAATCACATGTGATATATCATATGATTTATAAATTGTATCATCACATGTGTGACTGATTTACAAAATCATCATCATCATCATCAACAGCCTTTAATAGCCCACTGTTGGACATAGGCCTCTCCTTAGAAAGGAGGGTTTGGCCTACTATAATACGCTGGCCAGACGGGTTGGTATAGGGGTTGTTTCAAGTTTTTCTTCTCTCTGCAGTGCTGTTGTCCTGCGTAGTTTGCTTCCTTAGTCGCCTCTTACGACACCCACGGGATGAATAGGGGTGGTGTCACTCCGTATTCTTAATCCGTCACCACACGGACCCTATACAAAATCACTAATACTAAATTATTATTATTATGCTATGCAAGCGTAATCTTTGATAAAAAGAGTTTTGATTGAATTTAATGCCATTTATCTTTGTCTATGACGATATCCGTGTGGTGACGGATTAAGAATACAGAGTGACACCACCCCTATTCATCCCGGAGGTGTCGTAAGAGCCGACTAAGAGAGTCAATTCCGCAGGACAACAGCACTGAAAAGAGAAGGAAAACTTGAAACAAACCTTATACCAACCTGTCTGGCCACCGTGCTATAGTAGGCCAAAACCTCCTTTCTAAGGAAAGTCCTATGTCCAGCAGTAGACTAGTACAGGATGATGATGATGACGTAATCACAATCACATGTGAATCACTGTAACTAAAACCAAACATTTCATCAAATGAAAAGAGAAGGAAAACTTGAAACAAACGCTATACCAACCTATCTGGCCACCGTGCTATAGTAGGCGAAAACCTCCTACCAGCAGTAGACTAGTAAAGTCTGTTGATGATGACGAAATCACAATCACATGTGAATCACTGTGACCGAAAACCAATCATATCATCAAATGAATATGATTCAAAAGTAGCAATAAATGTCTTGTTCCATGTCTTGATCAGAGTATACACGGCCTCAAAAGCGGCGTTGAGCAATTAACCAATCTTTGCTTTTCATTTGTGACTCTCGACTTACAAGGTCCATGGGCGCCTGTAGTCACTAACCATCAGATAACCCGTCTACTCGTCTGCCCCCCTATCAGACACAAATAATCAGTAGACCTAGAGTATAGATAGTTTCGGAATATTTTATCCAACCCACAGGAGCCAACATCATCACTATAACTACATCATCACAATGCAGCGCACTGCATCATGTGTTTCTAATATACTGCATCGTCTACAATAGAAAAGAGGTACTACTAAATAACTTACAACGACTGGCCCTAGGTCTATCTCTCTGGATGCTGCAACGTCCAATGGTGGTCCGGATAAGTCCACCTTTCGGCCATACTTTTTATCCTTCTTCGGAAGCAAGTGGGTCAATACATTTCTACGAATGTGGTAGCCTTTATAGGCAGCCTATAAAAAAGACAAAGTTGTTATCCTGAAATAATTTTGTTAATGATTTTGATGATCTCGTAATATTAGCATTAGTTTGTTATTTTTAAATAGCAAGAAAGTGAAAACAAAAGTTTTTAAAGAAAGGTAACGTATTGCAATCGTGAGTGTACTTACGAGTATATCGTGTTAAAAAATACTGTCTACAGATTTTATATCGTTTCGTAACGTAAATATTCCATTACAATAATGTTAACAACAAATACGTACACGGCTTAAAGGGAACGTTTGTAGAGTACAAAGTTTATCCTAACCTCCTCCTAGATCTGCCTAGATTTGCTAATTCTTATTAGAGAAACAAAAAAAAATGCTCTAAAAACTTCACAATTGCTCACAACAGCAACATTACATGAAAACATGAAACGGATCTAATGACCCCTTTTCAAATATTAGACATTAGTCAAATATAGCCATTTCAAGTTTTAGAGAAAATAACCTTTAAACTGGAACTTAAAATTTACTTTTTGTGTTCCAATTATCAGAGACATTTACAACTCTTATTCTCTGTATCACTCTACTCCACCCTAAGATTGACTTTTAAAGAATACCGTAGGAATATTGAAAATAAATAGTTAAATGGGAATGCTATAAAAAATTTAAGGAATTTTTAGGAAAAAAATTCAACATCGCTTACTTGGATCTTTTCAGTAGCTCGATGTAATTCCACCAATGAGGGTTTGGTTTTTTTGTACAACTCTAGGGTATGCTGTGCAGCGATTTCCCACGGCTCTTCTGGCGTCTTCTTCATACCCTGAACAATGAAAATTAACTCTGCAAACTCTACTCTACCGTCATCAGTATCATTGTGGTTTCAATTCTATTTGAGTCGGCCTAATACGTAACACTGCAAACAGTTTTGTTTTTTGACGTGACAACGTCTTATAATTCGATGGAGCCGGCTGCACGCACGAAAAAACATGACTCATGCGGCGTTACCTCGCTCTGAGGCGTTCCATTTAAGGCTTGAAGTGCAAGCGAGAGCGCGGAACGAGCGACAAAGAGGCACAATCGGCCTCCGCCTTCGGCAGCGTTTGACATCTGTCTCTCTCCTACTTGAGTGAGCGATGCGTCCGCGTGGACAGCTGCTATACAATAATACATTTACATGTTTTCGTAAAATGCAACCATTCCATCAGTATTTTCTTATGACGTTGTCACGTTCAACTATCGTCAGTAAACCGACTTTACAGACAACCGATTTTTTTGGTGGTTGGCCGTCTGCACATCCTTGAGAATATAATCGACTAGCTTACTCGCATTCAATTCGCAAACTAGGCAGGACAATAGCACTGCAGAGAGAAGGAAAACTTGACACAAACCCTGTAACAACCCCGTCAGGCCAGCGTGGTATATTAGGCCAAAACCTCCTTTCTAAAGGGAGGCCTATGTCCAGTAGTGGACTGTTAAAGGCTGTTGATGTGACGTGACTCGCATGCATCTGCGTCTTTCCAAAGGAATAAACTTTCTCCATTCTTTCAACAATTTTCATTGATCCCATTAGTCGTAGCATGATGTTAAATAGAGTCTAAGTATAGCTTTCCTTCACAAACGGACCATCCAACAATAAAATATTTTTGTAATTTGAACCAGTAGTTCCCGCGGTTAGCGGTGTTTCGACAAAACAAACAAACCCTTCAGCTGCATAATATTAGTATAAACCTACTCCTGGGTCTCAATTCCTAGGCGCTGTCGCAGTCGCATGTGTTGCCCCCTTTATCACGCGATGGACCCGCCACCCGCACGGTGAATCTATGGAACCCTAAGAAATAGGTCTTCAGTAGGAAAGAAGGAAAACGGATTAGCCGCAGAAGCTGTAGTAACAAATAAATATGGGTGTTGGTCTCTTAGGACACCGATTTGGGCTATCTCTACTGGAGAGACACCACGGCTTCACAGAAAACCGATATTAATTTTTTCGTTGTTTTTTATTGAGTGAGTGAGAGGTTAAAGGAGGTTCAACTCCTTTGATTTCAACCTCTGTTATCCTTTCACTCACTCTCTACCGCCCTTTGGCGGTAACGTACTTGTGCCTTTTGAGTTACGTGACAGCACTTTAGAGTTTTCAAGTTAAAAGTTTAAACGTAACTTTTTTCTAACCTTTTTCAGTAAATCCTTTCTGTACCAGAAGTCTCTGTAAGCGTTCCTCACCACTTGACAAACTTTAGCTGACAATTCCTCGTCCATTGGTACCTTGGTGAGCAACTTCTTCAGTATTAAGTACTCTTTGATGTTTTCTTAAAATATAATAAAAAGTATAATTATAATACAAAAAAAACTGTTGTACAATTAAGCGATATACGCTTAATTGTACAACAGTTTTTTTTGTAAAGAGAACTCCCGCATTAGGAATATATCCTGTAGCGCGGGAGACTTTACAAACCTACATAAAACGCACACAAAGAACACCCAGACTCAGAACAACAATTTGTGGATCACACAAAGTGTCGTCCCATGTGGGGATCGGACCTATAACACTCAGCGTAGTGAGCGGCGTGGCGACCGCTTGAACCACTGCCACCACCAACCACGCCATCCGTGCAGTCTTTAATACAATAATTCCCTTAAACTAGGTTAGTACAAGTGGCGGCTTTATCGCTCAGAGGCAATCTCTTACAGGCAACCGTAGTATGGAGAGAAAACATGAAGGGGATTAGGTATTGGGTAATGGCTGGTGTATTAGGAAATAGAAAAGAAGATGAATTCAAAGTAGTATATACATAACTATAAAAAGTGATAATCACACATAGTATCTATTTGTTGGACTAAGGTGAATATATAACATACTAGAGGGAATATACTATGTGCTGAACACGGCTGGTGGTGTTATTAGATACATATAATTTAATAAATATGTGTGATTTATTAGTTCTGAATACATATATTATAAGAAATAATGTGACCTTGTCGACTTATATAATTTGTTAAATAATTGTTTTTTGAAGTGAAAAATTCTTTTCACATTGGCATTGGGCATTTTTGAACAACAAACAAAAGATTTTTTTTTTTATACGGGAAAAAGCCATTGAACTTGCGATACTGTTACCGTTACCGACACCTCTGTATGAAAGTATCTACATATATTAGCCTCGTTTACACGAGAGTTGAGTTTTTGTTGAAGTACATTGATAAAATAACTATAAATATTATATAAACATATATTGTGTATATACGTACAACATAGATATATATTCGTCGGAACATTTCGAATTAAAAAACAACAACATTTTTTCCTTAAAAATCATTTCCTAGTACTTTACCATTAAGGAAGTGTATATAATTATATCGGAATAACTGTTTCCCCCCGTCCCCTATTTCTGTGTGGTGACGGATTAAGAATACGTAGTGTCTCCACACCTATTTATCCCGTGGGTGTCATAAGATCCAAATAAGGGAGCAAACTATGCAGAACGACAGCCCTGCAAAGAAAAGGAAAACATGAAACAAACCCTATACGAATCCGTCTTGCCAGCGTGATATTAGTATTCCAAAACCTCATTTCTAAGGAGAGGCCTAGTCCAGAAGTAGACTGTTAAATGACTGATGAACTGTTCCCCAGAAAAAAGAGAGTAATTTTGTTGTAGACCTAGTTGCAGAAATAGTTTCATCTTCGTGAGATGGATCGAATCCTACCTTTTCCTGGTACAGGTTCTATCAATTCAATTTCAGTCTTGATGATCTCTGATAAAGTTGCAGCCTGAGGACGCTCCAGGCCAAGCTGCAGTAAATGCTCGGAGACTGAAGGGCGACAGTCACACAGGTCGTCGAGGATACTAACCGCCATGATGCCATGCTCGCGCGTGATGATCAAGGCTGACAGATAGTTCGCTATAAAGTCGAGAAGCTTTATTGGTTGAACTCTGAGCACCTGGGGGCAGATAAAAATATATTAAAGATGCCAATATTTTTATGCTAAAGGGGAACATGGACAGCTGCAAGAGTCACAAGTGCATTACCGTTCTTTAAGTCCCCCCCACCAAAGTCACGGGAAAGGAAGGGGCTAGAAGAAGAAGGCACTACATATGCTCTGAGTGGTATTAATCGAGGAGAAACCCACCGCTCAAATTTGGATTGCAGAGCCCTACCATGATGTAGTTTTACGAGAATGTTTATATTCTAAGACATATTTTATATTGTTTTTACATTAATTTGGGCTAAAACAATGTAGGGAATGGATAACTTGTACAAAAAAGATGTTAAAAAGAATAGAGTTAATAGGAGTTTCTTGGCAGTTGTTCTCCATATGATTTACGTATTGAAATAAGAAACTAGCTTCATGACTATCTTACTCTGACTGACTGCTACTCCTATACAAAAACTCCCACAATTTTTGACTTTGATGACTTTGATGATCACAGCCAAGCTTAATTAACCTAAGATGTGCTTACCAGCTGTTAGGGTATTTCTTCGGTATGTTTGCTTTGTGGAGGATCGAGCGTTACGCCCCTTCAATCAGGATTAGCGGGATGTTGCCTAACGGTTAATGTTTGGAAGTGGTATATACATACATGCTTACTAATCGGCGCGAAAACTTTAATTGCGCGATGCAGGATCAAAACTTATACTGTAGTTCGGTGAGTCTTTATTAGATAGAAGCATGTTTCTTGTTAGTATGTGTGGAACTCGCTACAGTTTCTATATTTAATAACTATTTGTTCATTTATAGCAATTAAATTCAGCCGCAAAACGTTATTAAAAAGACGACAGGCGCTACCATCTTACCACTTTATTTAGTGTTTTTTTTTATGGTTTATGTTTTTTAGGTTCAAGTGCAAAGAGGAGGGATTATATGAGTGTAATGTTTGTGTCTGTTTATACAATAATGGAACTTTTTTTAAAACAAGTGACTCTGAAATGACACAAAGAGTGTCCGCATCAGCATTGGGTTCAGAGATCTGGCTATCAGTGTTTAGGCTACTAGAGAAAGAAACCAATACTACCCTACTACCTACTACCCTACTGCCTACTGTTTCGAGGCGTATCCGGCCCAATCCAGCTTTCAAACGTGTGCCTTATATTACTATAGATTTTATTTTTCTCTTTATTACATTAAATATAAGTAAATTATATTTTAAAATTTGCATACGAAAAAATTTACCTGGAAGCGAGCGCGCTTCGCAACACGCTCGCCGCCACCCCGGCCTGCTTCTGCTAGGGTGACAGATGGCCTCACCTGTTACCCCCAGGCCTGCGCTTATGGAGGACGGAGGTCGTCCTGCGTCGGGTTTGTACCCGTCCCTGTGGACCAAGCTACTAGGGATTTGGGTTCCAGAAACTGAAACCTCCTCACGGTACGTATCCAGAAGTACGGCTTTCTTCGTCAGATTCTAATCCAGCTGCCTAACGTGAGCCTCTGCAGGCGCTGGTAATCAACTTACCTATAGGCTGATATTAATGTTATTGACTATTATAATTCAGGTGTAATTTACGCTCCAATTAATAGAGACTCACTTCTCGGGTAATATCGGACATTAATTCTTTTAGACCCTCAGGAACTGTGAACACGTTTGAGCATCCATGTTTTTGCAGTAACTCATTCATGTTGTGTTAATTACGGTATTAAATAAATTGTTACTTATTGACGATGACTGACAATTTTCTGAAAGATGTCACGACTCGTCTTAACTGGTCATTTCATCGATGGAAGAGAAACTACCATAGAGTACTACCTATATACTTTTAAAGAATTTTTTGAATACAAAACAACGTGAAATGAAGAATGCTTACTACCAATTCTACTGTATCCAACTACATTTTAAAGTATTTATGTCGAATTGTCATAGCACGTAATTCTGTATTTATTTATTTTTACACTTCCTGCATTATATAAAAGGTGCACATGCATTATCTAAAAAGAAGAAACTATGAAAATATAACATTAATTTGATAATACTATTCTTTTTTTTCTTTCTTTCTTATTTAAAAAGACAACTCCCGCATTAGGAATATATCCTGTGTCGCGGGGGACTTTACAAACATACATGAAACGGACACATAGAACACCCAGACTCAGAACAACAATTTGTGGATCACACAAAGTGTCGTCCTATGTGTGGGGATCGGACCCACAACACTCGGCGTAGTAGTAAGCGGCGTGGCGACCGCTTAAACCACTACGCCATCCGTGCAGTTAATTGTTTGAAAGTTAAAAATAGACTGCCATTACATTCAAAAGACAATACACGCAATACTTCCTTCATGGATGATATTTCGAAGAATTCGCTTAACGCAGAAATTACTAGTCTCATTCAAAATTCAAAATATTTGGCTAAAGGATATATATGCATTGGCATATATATCCTTTAGCCAAATATTTTGAATCGTCAATTGACATGAACGCATCTGTTTGCATACAACAGCCATTGTGATGCGTGTGTGAAAGCTTGTTTACTATTGAAATCGTACATTAACCTCGGCATTAATAACGTTTTAAATTTTATGGCGTCTTGTACACTTGCCGCGAAAATAATTCTAGTTCCATCTTTAGTTATGCTGGCATTACAAGCGGAGTTGAAATGGGGATATAACCCATCTCTGAACTTAATAAGATCTTTTTTTGCGGTTTCTTTGGTCAGGATCATCTATTATCTCACTATTAGAGGGAGAAGCGGCCCTTTGTGTACAAAGCTTATTGGTTTTCTCATAAAATAACTTGACACATCTCGTACTAAACTAGACAAAGCTTACAGATATGACTGATGATAATATAATAATAATAATGTTCTTACACAATGACACAACGCCATCTAGTCCCAAACTAAGCAGAGCTTGTACTATGGCTACTAGACAACTGATATAAATACATATATACTTTTTTTTGTAAATACATACTTATTATACATAGAAACACTCAGACCAAATCAAACATTTAATGTTCATTAACACAAACGTTTGGCTTGAGAGCGGGAATCAAACCCGCTTCCTTTGGAATAGTAGTCCGTTACACAAAGCACTACGCCATCATGTAGAGTATAAATATGTCAGATAACATTATTATTTTAACTATGTACATATTTTATAAGCTATTTTGTATGTATCTGTACATACAAAATACAAATATATGTATCTATAAAACGTCATGGAACTACTGTAAAACAATCTGTGGTTATTGGACTTCACTGTGACTCAGAATCTAGTGGGCTATTTACTGGAAGACATTTATACAGGCAGCCCTACGTAGGTATATACTAAGATTGTGTTAGTTATTTTCATACTTTAATAGGTAGAAGCCACCTGCTAAGTAGCTAGGGTTGTCAATCGTACTCATGAATAAAACTTTAACATTTAATTTCTTTTGTAATTTCAGTGATATTGATCGTTGAGGAAATAGCTTATTTCTACTCAAACTGTGGTCATCGAAACGAAAACTTCCTTGCCTTTTCTTTGAAGAAAACGATTTTGATTGCTTCCCATTGGTATGGTGAGTTTCAGAAACTACCACAACGCAATTATTATCGAAGTTTAAAGGCCGTCTACGCCTCGGCCACTATTTATTATCTATATAAAAAAAGACATATAAATTGTTCCACTTTTCTCAAAATGTCAATAGTGACATCTGTCATCTATAATCTTTATCATATCTGACATCTGTTTCATTTAGTAATAATATATTAAAATTATTTTAATTGTGTGTATATTCTAACATAAATATATTGTTATAAAATAAAATCCTATTACAAAAAATAAAAATATTTCCAAAATTAATTAATATTACAGTTAATTATAAGCTAAGCAAAAGGATGTCAGCCTCACTCCTACACTCCCCTGCCTGATGGGGTCTATAACGAACTGTAAACCCCAATGTGTCTATTCAATATCTCTGTAACGTTAGGGTGTGCAATAAAGTATTGACTTTTAAAAGTAAAACATAAATTACAAAAAAATATCAAGCTGGCTTCAAAAAAACAACAACGCCCTACCTAAAAAGACACTAAAAAGCGAAAAATATTTTTTTTGTTTTCAAAAATGTGCGACTTTTTCTAAGAAATTAAATCAAAAAGTTTACGTAAACTCAAATATCTTTTTTTCATAAATAACTTAGAATTAGTTGGAATTCGTCTCTTGTGTAGACTCTAAAGTCATAGATCAACACACACAAAAGCAACAATCTCTGCTTTGTCAAATATTTAGAAAACTAAGTATATACGTATCGAAAATTAACTATACTATAAGTAACTATACTAATTTAGTAACTTACCTATAACTTACCTAACTTCTATACAAATAAATAAAAGTGAAGTTTGTAATGTCAAAATCAACATTATTTTACTTAGCAATCAAGCTATATGTATTTACAAATTACAATTATTTATTTACAAAATTACTATGTGACAATTATTGACTAAACGTATTACCTATTAACTTAAATAAAATATTATAATGTATGCTAGGTACCTACAATCTGTTTGAAGTCGGTATGCGTATGTCCACCTTTTCAAGTGGGTAAAAAAAATATATACGCATATTGAGGCGTAGTTCAAAAGCAAACTCAGAGACGTTTTTATAAAATATGATTTCACATATACACATTCATATGCAGCTATATATATATATCATATTTCATGTAATTGCGAATAGGCATATTGAAGTGTAGTTCAAAAGTAAACTTAAGATACGTTTTTATAAAATATGGTTTGCACTTAAGCTCACATATACACATTCATATGCAGCTATATATTTATATCATATAATTCCGACTGTTTTGTAATAGTTTAAGCCCTAAGAGTGAGTGAATCGTATTCAGTGATAGACACGATACGTGGCTATCATAGTCATTGTGATATTTGTGTAATCTAAAACAAAATAAATGCTTATTAACTAGACTAATATTATAAAGCTGAAGATTTTGTTTGTTTGAACGCGCCATTCTCAGGAACTACTAGTCCGATTTGAAAAAATCTTTCAATGTTAGATAGCCCATTTATCGAGAAAGGCTATAAGCTATATACCATCACGCTAAGACCAATAGGAGCGGTGCACCAATGAAGAATGTTGCAAAACGGGGGAAGTTTATTCCTTTTAAGAGACGTAGACGAATTTGCGCGAGTCAGCTAGTTATTATTAAAAACTCTAACGGTACGTGCACTTATTGTTACCGGTAACCGCTTACCACCACACACCACAGTAGTTTACATGCCCGGCGATTCCTTTCTCCCGGCTGATAAACTACCTTCAACAGAATAATTGTTATCTCTATAATTAATAATCTCTTAATAAAAATCTCTTAATAGTTGTTATAATATAATAGGCTAGTTGACAAAATTTCAATAACTGCTTAATATTTTAGCTTATTAGGCATTTTATCGAAATAAAAGGTTTATTTATTTTTAATCGAGCGTTTACATTATAAATTTCGCGTTTTAAAAAACCAATTTCAATTTGGTTCCAAAACGCACAAGACTGTCATGGCGTCTTGAATGACGTCACGCCGTGCGAAACAAACCAAAGAGCGATCGTGTCTTCGTACGTTATAGCTGGTTTTTATCGTTTAAAAATGAATTTCTCATATTATAAGTACTGTATAGTGCCCCAGTGTGATAGCACGACTATAAAAACGCCAAACAAGTTATTTATATTTGTTCCAAACAATGGAAAAATACGGAAAAAGTGACTAAAACTTGCAAGAAGAGATGATGCTCATACTTTATCAACAGGTTCAAGAATGTATTTTTGTGAAGATCATTTTGATGTAAGTATTTCACACAATACAATCTATTACTTAATTCGAGCAAACTAGATGTGTTTTGTAGAATCCCTATTTTCTAAATAATAAATACATGAGTTCAGGTTAAGTTGTTTCACTTTTAGGAGTGAACGTTTTATTTTAGTTTTCTAATTAATGTTACAAAAATACTCTTTTTATTATTCTAGTTGCCAAATGATATGATTAATTATATGGAGTATCATATGAAGGGAACAGTATCACAAGTGAGCATGAAACCAGGTTGTATGCCAAGTAAATTTGGATGTCAAGAAGACAGAAGAAAACGAACATGCAGCATTACAGAACGGCCATATATTCTAAAAAAACTAAGAAAGATGATAATAGAAGAGTGTCTGAATGAATCAAAAGAAAGTTGTACTCCAAGTGGTTAATTCTTTCAAATTATAATTATCAAAAACTGTATCAACTTGATATTAATTGTTAAAAACCAAAATTTTATCAAGAACAGGTAGTGATACTCGAAACGTCAAAGACAAGATTGGAGTTTCGCACGGCGTGACGTAACGCTTTCTGATTGGTGTTCACTGTCACGTGACTAAAGGTTTCATTTTACGAAATTTATTTTTTAAAAATATTATTAATCTTTAACGCTTTTAATAATTAAAATTGTTTGTTATTTTCTCCATAATATAATTAATCATTATAAACCCCTATCCATTATATTTATTCTTAATGGACACAAGCCTATTAATGTTTTACTAAAAATAGGAACGCGACAGCCCTAACAGCCTTAAAAGTGACGTAACTTAATTTGACTTGCATTAATCATACATATCCACTTATTTATATACGGCTTATTGTATTTACTCATCGACACTATTCTTTGTTAATCGCCATTTTATATTGACCTTACTACTCCCTTTTGATTTCCGTTTATAATACAACGAATGCATTGCGCGGGAGATCAATTTAAATTGATCGGTTTATATGTTATACATATCAATTTTACAGCTCGTTTGAATACAGTCATTCGATAGTGAGCTTTATTAGCAAGCAAGAAGGTTGTTAGACATTGTTGCGGTAAACATTTATATTTGTATCTGTATACACATTAATACTGAGATACGCGGTTGTCTATTTAGTATAAGACTTCGCTTCGCGTGGTCGTGCGTGGCGTGACACATACTGTCGGTTCATAAAGATAAACATTTGTAAAGAAAACTGATAACATTTAAACTTAATCATTTAAAGCATGTGTGTAACATGTTTAAAGATTTTTTTGTGATACCTTCAGTTTAAAATAAGTGTTGAGAATAGTGAAAAAAGTTACAAAAACAACCATAGGCTAGTGATTTTATTTAATAAAAAAAAGTGTTTATTAATAATCAAGATGGAAGCTGTAACCGCTCGAGCCATTTCCATGCTGGCTCTTGGCATCGGAAGTTTCCTATCAGGTATGCTGCCAACCTGTTTCTCAGAAAGAACGCGACAGAGCCATCCATTTCTCATATCATGTCTCCTGTGTTTCGGAGGAGGGGTTCTCCTATCCACCTCACTGGTCCACATGCTGCCAGAAACCAGAGAAAAGTTACCAGAATACTCAGAAGTGATGCTGTGTTTAGGATTTTTTACAGTGTATCTTGTGGATGAACTATCCCATCTGGTTTATAAGAGTAACAGTCATCGCCAGGAAAGGCGGGATGTTGGGGAGCGTTCCAGTTTGCTGATAAGAGAAAGAGATGATGGGGAGTTGAGAGAGAGACACGATGGAGGGTCAGAACTTTGTCACGTTACTCATACTGAGCCCTGTAATAAGAATTCCTCTAGTGTAGTTGGATTACTCTCTGCTCTCTTCATACATAGTGTCTTGGAAGGATTGGCGATTGGTTTGCAAGAGAATACCACCCAGGTAAGAATATTTTTTCTTATAAATGTTTTTTTTTTTATGAAATGGGGTGGTAAACACCTCCCTGATGGTAGGTGAATACGACTGCCTATGAACACCGCAACTCAATAATCTCAATGCGGTGTCGCCTTTTCCCTTCCCTCCAAAATCAGGAAGTGGGGAGTGACTGCACAGATGGCGTAGTGGTTTAAGCAGTCGCCACGCCGCTTCCTACTACGCCGAGTGTTGTGGGTTCAATCCCCACATGGGACGACACTTTGTGTGATCCACAAATTGTTGTTCTGAGTCTGGGTGTTCTTTGTATCCTTTTCATGTATATATGTAAAGTCCCCCGCGACACAGGATATATTCCTACTATGGGAGTTGTCTAACCAACGGAGCCCAAACCCACCCTTCCTGACTAGGTGAAAAGTAATGAAAGTACTGCTTAAGACCGGGTTTCTGTGCCTGTCGAGCCTGGTCCATATAATATGCCGAATTATCAGTCTCCCACAGCTAAAACAGCTCCTGATGTACCAATATATATTGACCTCTTGTTTTTAAAAACATGCTTGGAATAGAAGGACCAAGTAGTGATGATTTTAACGCGTTCTTTAAAACACTTATTTTTATGAGCAATATAAACAAATCCTAGAAGTTAATTTAAACTACTTCTGACTGTTGTATCGAAATTTAAACTGTTAAATAACTTTCTACAGAACTTCTCGCTCCTCGTAAAAAACCAAAGTTCAATGGTATCATGGTTCACTTAAAGCCAATACTAACCTAGTTTAGGACAAAGGTTTTTAGGAAGGAAGAAGTCTGATGATAATACTATTCCATTGGAGAACTGATCTGATGATGAAACCAGGTGAATAGAACTCTTTAGTGGACACTAGTATATCCATCGAGTTTGGATTTATTTGATTCCTTTTGACGATTGTTGTAATGGTCTTATATTTAAGCCTCCAGGCGATCTCTAGTATATTTTAGTTAAACAATTAAATAAATAATGTGCACTCACATTAGTACAGAACAAAATTTATTAAATTAGATTCACGGCGCGGACTTAACGTTACCTAAAAAAATGACTTTCAAGTTTTTTCAAGGTAAGATATTTTTTTGGACTAGTTGTGTCCACTGCGGTTTGGTTTGCGTGTTTGGGTTTTATACCTGAATACTCAATTCTTTTTCTGAAAAAAAAAATTACTTTTTAACCCTTAAAAGCCTTGAAAGTCAGTTCATATATTCTATAGACTGGCCGGATTAGGATAAAAAGACACTGACAAAAAAAATACATTCACAGATTAAAAATAACTTACTGTGCTACTAACAGAACTCTAATCTATATTAATAATATTATAAAGCTGAAGAGTTTGTTTGTTTGTTTGCTTGTAATCTCAAGAACTACTGGTCCAATTTGAAAAATTCTTTCAGTGTCAGATAGCCCATTTATCGAGGAAGGCTATAGGCTATATCCTCACGCTAAGAACTATAGAAGCGGAGCGCCAATGTAGAATGTTTCAAAATCGGGAGGCTTTATTTCCTTTTTGTGCGCTGCGTAAACGGAAATAGCTCCTTAACGTACGTATTATTTAAAAATATTTTCACCTTCTTCGTAAACGAAGGGGCGGGTTAAAGCTAGCATTACCCCAAACTAACTATTCCACTTGGACGAAGTCACGGGCAGAAGCTAGTGTTATATATTTGTAAAGATAAATATAAATCGGGACCACGAGATACCTTTTATACGTAAGTAATACACTATGTATGGGTAGACTGATACGCTTTACGCTTTAAAACACTGATGAGTTTTTTTTTGTTACTACCGTCATTTGGATTTTATAAAAAATTGACTTAATAAATAAATGCATCGTTTAAAGATAACTCTCAAATTCTTCGAAAAACTAGCTTAAAGTATCTCTAAAATAATAATAATAATTTGACACATCGTTCACACGGTCGTCTGATCCTGGAAGACTGCACGGATGACGTAGTGGTTTAAGCGGTCACCTCGCCGCTTTCTACTGCGCTGTGTTGTGTATCCGATCCCCACATGGGACAACACTTTGTGCGATCTACAAATTGTTGGTCTGAGTCTGGGTATTCTTTGTGTCCGTTACCATGTATGTTTGTAAAGTCTAGTCTTTTTAAAGAAAAAAAAGAATGAAAAAATCTTGCAACTAAAACAGATAACCAATTAACGTACTTACCCATATGTTATTAAAAACCACACATATTAATAGTTTATCTTGAGTGGAAATCGAACCTGTAACCTCTGGGTCAGCAGATAAGACCATAAACTACTACCCCAACAGATTTATATACAATTCCATTGACGACACACACACACAAATTATACAATAAAAAATCTTTTATCATCGACCAACTGCATAGAAAATATTAAGTACTGAATGAAAGATACCTATAGATAGTTCAACTCAGTTTTGCGCGCGGCCCTATGTGTGCGTGGGCTTGTAAATATACAACTTTCATTCGTGTGACGACGACTGCCACACGAATGAAAGTTGTATATTTACAAGCCCACGCACACATAGGGCCGCGCGCACAACTGAGTTGAACTATCTATACCTTCCTCGTGGACGCATGTATAACGTGGGTATATCTTATCTTATCTTATTCTTGGCTCGAGTAGTAGACTCTTAATTACACTTACTAAGGTCACGTGATATGATTTACAAAGACCGTTTGTAACTTAGTTGCTATTTTAAATTTAATCATCAAAGTGACGCGTTAAAAGTGTAAACAAAGATGAAGATGGTTTCTATATGGTCTAAAAGGCCTGTACGTGAAGTGGTGGTGGTAGTGACTGCTGAACCTGAGATCGTTGGTTCGATCCCACTCAGGACAAATATTGTGTAATGAGTACGATCGATCACTTGTCCTGTCATTATCATCAACAGCCTTTACTAGTCCACTGCTGAACATAGGCCTCTCCTTAGAAAGGAGGTTTGGGTCTACTATACCACGCTGGCCAGATGGGTTGGTATAGGGTCAACTCGGTCCTCGTACCGGTTCGGGCCCAGATGAAATATCTGGGCCTGATCCTCGACGGGAGGTGGCTCTTCGACGAGCACTTCCGACAGCTTGCTCCAAAGCTGGTCGGCGCTGCGTCTGCCCTAGGGCGACTCTTGCCCAATATGGGTGGACCCAGCGTCGCGACAAGACGGCTGTACACGGGGGTTGTCCGGTCAATGGCGCTGTACGGTGCACCGGTGTGGGCGGCGGCTCTGACCGCCCAGAATAGGGTACGCCTCTGGCGCCCTCAGAGGGTAATGGCGGTCAGAGCCATACGCGGTTACCGCACCGTTTCTACGGAGGTGGCATGCGCATTGGCCGGAACTCCCCCGTGGGATTTGGAGGCGGAAGTGCTCGCCGAAGTTTATCGGCGAGTGGCTGACTTCCGGGCGGAGAGCGGATTTCGCCCTCCGCCCGAGGATGTGCGCGAGTGGCGCGAAGCCGCTCGCCGAGCCACGATGGCTCGTTGGTCGTTCCGGCTGGAGACTCCACGCGCTGGCTTCGCCGCCGTGGAGGCTCTCCAGCCGGTCATCGCCGAGTGGGCAGGGCGGCAGCACGGGACCCTTTCCTTCCGGCTGACGCAGGTGCTTTCCGGGCATGGTTGCTTCGGAAAGTACCTGCACACGGTCGCTAGGAGGGAACTGAGTCCCGCCTGCCACCACTGCGACTGCAGTGAGGACTCGGCCCAGCACACGCTGGCGGTCTGCCCCGCATGGGCGGCGCAGCGCCGGGCCCTCATTGCAGTCATCGGAGTGGATCTCTCGCTACCGGCCGTAGTACGCTCCATGGCCGGTAGCGACAGTTGTTTTACCGCGGTCGCAACCTTCTGCGAGGTAGTAATCTCGCGGAAGGAGGCGGCGGAGAGGGCCCGGGAGGACGACCTCCACTCGGACCCGATCCGCCGCCGGCGAACCGGGCGGCGGAGGCCCGCCTATCACAGCCTCATGCCGCCCTGAGTGTGGCCGCGGGTGGACGGGGTGGGTTTCCCCTCCACCCGCATTTGTTTGGCCAGCCGCGAGGGGGCGGCGTCCGCGTGTGCCGGACGTCGCCTAAAGAGAGGAACACCATTGAGACGGAGCCCGCACCAGGAGCGGGCTGGCGCTAGGAGGGGTCCGGATGTCTTAACAACAGCTGTTCCCGGATCCCTCCTGTTACATGCGCAGAGTGGCACACCGTGTGGTTTTAGTCGGTCCGAGCCCGACACACCACCCCGCCGCAAACCCCGGAGGGGTGACGGTCCGAGGGGATTTCCACACGTTAAAAAAAAAAAAAAAAAGGGTTTGTTTCAAATTTTCCTTCTCCTTGCAGTGTTGCAGTCCTGTGTCTGGCTATAATTTAGCTATAACATGTATTTATTTTGAAATAATAATAATATTTTCGGACATCTGACACATAAAGTCATCTAGTTTCAAACTAACACAGCTTGTACTATGAAAGTTAGATTGACTGATAGAAAACACCTAAATTCTCAACATCTGGTCCGACCATGGAATCGAACCTCAGACCTCGCTACCACTGCACCACAGAGGTATTATAAATATGTGAAATACGGTAAATATACGTGCTCGGTTGACGGTAATAGGTATAGTCGATAATATGTGGCCGTTTAATATGACTTTGCAAACCCCTCCGGGGATAAAAACCCAATTGATGCCCCTGTTGCAGTGGCCTTCAAGGTCAGTCTGGCTGTTTCGAGTTCTTGCAATCTTAGTTTATCGGGTAACTTGTCTACAAAGATACCAAATCCCCCCTCAACTTATTTTGGGGGACTTGTGTCTCTGAAGTTGCTTGACTCCATGGGTGGCGGTTGTCACTTACCAACAGGTGGGTCGTGTGCTTGCTTGCCACCTACAATAACAATAAAAATCACAACAAACATGTCCGTGTAAAATTTTGCGGTCAATCTTTTATAAACGTGTATTACAGTTACGCGATCACGCATCGATTATACGTGAAACCGGTGTTAGGGGAATTACCTAGGGTAC